GACAATCTCTTTCGACGTCGCTTTGGCCCGGCCCCGGACCTCCCCAACTGGCACAGCCTGCTCCGCCAGGGCGTGCCGATCTTTGAGTTAGACATGGATCAGATAGGTGCTGCCTTGCATGCCTTGTATTCTTATGCTTCTAGTGTTTTGCTTGATCTTATTAGCCTCCCCTGTTGCGTCAGGCGTAGGACTGCCTAGCTTGCCTAGCCTAGTCTCTGCACCGGCTCCTTTCCCGGCCTCCGCCACTGCGTTGCTGTCCTTCACTCTCGACTCCGATGCTTCTGCCTGCTTCTTCCGCGACCGTTCCGCGCTAACGCCGCTTGCTACGCCTGCTGTTGTCTCTCTCGCTGACCCCTCTGCGGGTCCTGTCGTCGCTCGCAGTTCTACGTCCCTTCCCTGTCCAGCAGTTCCCTCGGGCTCCCTTACAGGCCTCCACGTTCCCTCGTTCTCGAGGAACCTGGTTGGTGTCGGCTGTCTCCAGGACCTCGGCGTCACCACCACGTTCCCCGAGCACGAGCGGTTCGCTGTCTGTTCTGAGGCTGTCTCACGTTCCCCCCTTGCGACGTTCCCCCGGGACCCGGTGTTCGGTCTGTTTACCCTCAACACCGCTTCCCCCTCGGTTGGTGCGTCCTCCAAGGTCGCTGCAGCTTGCTCGTGTCAGTCCCTCACTCACCCGTCCCTTCTCTGGCACCACCGCTTAGGTCACCCTGCTCTCCCGCGCCTGCATCACATGTCTCAGCACGGTCTTGTCTTAGGTCTCCCTGCGTCGCTCCCTGCCCTTCCTCCCTCGACTGCGCCACCGTGCACGCCTTGCGTCGAGGGCCGGCTCCGACGTGCTCCTCACTCCTCCTCGCTGCGCCCTGCTACTGCCCCCCTTCAGACCCTGCACCTGGACGTTTGGGGCCCTGCCCCCGTCCCTGGACCGCGAGGTGAGCGCTACTTCCTTGTGCTCGTCGACGACTACACGCGCTACACCACGGTGTTTCCCCTGGAGCGGAAGGCCGACGTGCCCGACATTCTTCTCCCGTGGGTTGTGGCTGCGCATCTTCACCGCGGTCTCCCTGTGTTGTGTCTCCACTCAGACCGCGGCGGCGAGTTCGCCTCTGGTCGGCTTGGACAGTTCTGTCGTGCGGAGGGCATCACCCAGTCGTACACCTTGCCGGACTCGCCACAGCAGAATGGGGTTGCTGAGCGCCACATCGGCTTGGTCATGGAGGTTGCTCGTACCTCCATGATTCATGCCGATGGCCCCCATTTTCTGCGGCCGTTCGCTGTCCGCTACGCTGCTCACCAGCTTAACCTGTGGCCACGCTCCCAGCGGCCGCGGGTTTCGCCGACCCTCCTTTGGACCGGGTCCCCTGGTGACGCGTCTGCGTTCCACATCTGGGGCTGCCTCGCTCACGTTCGTGCCTCTGGCACGGACAAGCTCACAACCCGCACTATCCCCTGTGTCTTCCTCGGTTTCCCCCTGGACTCGTCTGACTGGCTTTTCTACCACCCGCCGTCTCACCGCTTCCTCCACTCTTGTGACGTCACCCTTGACGAGTCTGTCTCCTTCCACCGTCGGTTCCCTCACCGAGGTCTCCCGGTTGCCCCGCCCTGTTCCTTGCTCCCTCTCCCCCGGTAGCCCCTGCTCCTCTCCCGCCTCGCCCTGCCCCGTCTGGTGTCTCTCACGTCACTCCCCTCCTGTCGGTTGTCCCCGTTGAGGAGTCCGCTGACTCTGGTGGTACCCCCGGCCCATCCTTGCCGCGTCCCCCTTCCCCGGTGTCTTCGCCTCCACTGTCGCAGTCGCCGCCTCTGCCGCAGCCGCCGCCGCCATCGCCGCCGCTCTTGGCCCCTGGGGGTGCTGGTGTGGAGGAGGGTGTTCGTAGTGCGGCTCCTGGGTGTGCCGCTGGTGTTGGAGGGGGTTCTCACTCTGGGGGTATTGGTTCTGGGGGTGCTGCTGTTAAGGGTTCCGCCGACGGTCGTCCTGCCTCTGCCGGTCCGAGGGTTCCGGCCCAGCCGTTGCAGCAGCCGTCGCCGCCGGTCTCCGCTCTCCGCCAGCTCGGCCTTCCCTCCCCGGACCGCTCTCCGGTGTCTCCCCCACCGCCTGCTGACCTTCCTGTCTACGGTCCTCTGTTCCCGCCGCCGGACTCATCTCCGACCTGTCTTCCTCCTCGTTCCCCTCCGCTCTCCCCTGACCCTACACCTCCGTCCCACGTTTGGTCTCGCCGTCCCTCCCGTGCTCGTCCCGTCTCTCCTCTCCTGCGCTCCCACCCTATGTTGCTTCGTTCTCGCTCGTCTCGTCCTCCCCTCCTCCCGTCCCCTCCTCCCTCGTCCCTTGCTGTTGCCCCTCCTCCGTTCTCTGACTACCTCCGTGCCGCTCGTCCCCTTGTCCCTCGGGTCCTTGCCTCTCTTGTTACCAACCCTGATGTTCCTGTCTCGCGCCTTTACGCGCTTGTCGCTGCTATCGCTGCCTTCGCCTCTACCCACCGCCTTGACTACGCTACCGCTCTGTTCTCTGACCCTGCCCGTCCTCCGTCCGTCGAGGGTGCTCCTGCCCTTGGCAGTGACGTCCTAGAGGACAGGCAGTACGAGCTTGCTTTCCTTTCCGAGGCTGCTCCCCATCTCTACTCCATGCTGTTAGTCCTTGAGGGTGACCCCGACGCCTTCGACATCCCGACCCCTCGCACCTACGCTGAGGCCACCTCGGGACCTTGGGCCCCTCAGTGGATAGCTGCCATGGAGCAGGAGATGGCATCTTGGAGGTCCACCGGCACTTACGTCGACGCAGTTCCCCCGCCTGGGGTGAACGTAGTCGATGGTCGGTGGCTCTTCAAGGTGAAGCGCCCCCCTGGAGAGCCGCCTGTCTTCAAGGCGCGCTAAGTGGCCAGAGGTTTCAGTCAGCGCGAGGGGGTTGACTTCTTCCAGACCTTCGCCCCGACCCCGAAGATGACCACTCTTCGGGCGCTGCTACACGTAGCAGCACAGCGCGACTACGAGCTTCACTCCCTCGACTTCTCTACTGCCTTTCTTCAGGGCAGCCTACACGAGCAGGTCTACCTGCGCCGACCATATGGTTTCACTGGTACCTTCCCCCGTGGGACCCAGTGGCTTCTCAGGCACCCGGTCCACGGCCTGCGTCAGGCTCCTCGCGAGTGGCACGACACGCTGCGTGCCACGTTAGCAGATCTGCAGTTCTTTCCGTCCTCTGCTGACCTTTCACTGTTTGTGCGTTCCGGCCAGACTCCGTTCTACATCCTTGTCTACGTAGACGACCTGGTCTTCACTACTGCTGACAGGGACGCACTGGCCTCTGTGAAGGCCGAGCTGCTGAAGAGACACACCTGCACTGACCTTGGAGAGCTGCGTCGCTATCTTGGCCTGCAGATCTCTAGGGACAGAGCAGCACGCACCATCACTCTGACTCAGTCACACCTGGTGCGTCAAGTCCTTCAGAGGTTCGGTCTTCAGTTCTCCTCCGCACAGCCCACACCTCTACCTGTAGACCATGGGCTCTCCGCTCCCGTTCCTCAGGAGCCAGTAGAGCCTAGTGGCCCCTACGCAGAGCTGGTGGGTTGCCTCATGTACCTGATGACTTGCACTCGCCCAGATCTCGCATACCCTCTCAGCATCCTGGCTCGCTTTGTGGCTACAGGCAAACACCGACCTCAGCACTGGTCTGCCGCCAAGAGGGTTTTGCGTTATCTTGCTAGTACATCGGGCATGGGGTTAGTGCTAGGAGGACGCAGGCCAGTGGTCCTTACTGGGCACACAGACGCTTCTTGGGCAAACGACTCTGAGACGCGCAGGTCATCGCAGGGCTACTGTTTTAGCCTTGGTTCGGGTGCTATCTCTTGGAGATCCACTCGCTCGTCGTCTGTAGCTCAGTCCAGCTGTGAGGCTGAGATCTACGCTGGTGCCATGGCGGCACAGGAGCTCCGCTGGCTGACCTTCTTGCTCACAGACTTAGGTGAGCGGCCTAGCTCTGCCCCGGTCCTGTACACTGACAACAGGGCCATGATACTCCTGTGTCAGGAGCCTCGACTTGAGGGCAGAGCGAAGCATATCCAGCTGCGGTACTTCCTCCTGCGCGAGCTACAGCAGCGCCGCCAGGCCCGTGTAGTTCACTTGGCCTCAGGTGCCAACACAGCTGATATCTTTACTAAGGCGCTTGCGCCTAAAGATCATCAGCGGCACTGTGTACAGCTTGGTCTTGTTCCTATAGCTACTCACCTGTTAGGATCGTGATTGTGTACTCTCTATTATATATACCTGTCAGACTGGCCTTGTGGCCTCACCTCAAGTGGTCGGACTAGTAGTGCCGCCCTGGCTTGCTTTAGTTTTGTTTGTCTTCTTGCTGACTGGTCTCTAGACCCCTGCCTCAGTGGTTGGACTAGTAGTGCCACCGTGAGCTGTTTGCTTTTTGCTTAGCTTCACCCCTTGTCTAGCCTAGGGGGTGTGTCAACTTATACATATTAGCTATGTAGAAATTATAGGCTTGATTGGGGTATGCTTCTAGTGAGTACAACCAACTACCAGTACCGTATTCCCCCGGATAAAACACCCACGGGTGGCACTAAGTTTTGATGCAAAATTCAGTGGGGGTGTAATTAGTGGCACTTTTTGTAGAACGCCCGGAGACTATGGAATGACAATCTTATGATTATGAACTGGAATTGAACTGTGTTGTAGACAGTTCTTTTGTGCCAAATTTTGACGATTCTTGCACATGATCGCGTATATGGTGAGGAGGACCATCGTCATGCCACGTTGCAGGGCCGACCGACGTGGATTCTCCCGCACTGCTAGGTAAGTGTTGACTATAAGGAGCGTGTTCCCATGAGCCTCGTACAGTATCAGACTCGCAACTTTCGCCTGAGTGACGGGAATTCCAGGCATGGTAACAGTTCTACACCACATTGAACCACTTCGCGTCGAGTGTTATGAATGAACAAGCAGAGTAGCGCGGAAATGAATAACGAAGTGTTCACTCAATGAATGACGATACAAGGAATGGCAAGCCAAGATATAGGAACACCAGAGCTAGTCTAACCATGCGATGGGAAGGTTCGGGAAGGAGATCGAAGGGTCTCGAAGTGACGAAGCGAGGCCTGGAGAACTCCCGAAGGTCGAACCGGAAGGTCTGGAAAAGCCGAGGCAGTTCTGTCAGAAGGTCTGGAACAGTCCCGAGGCTTCAGGTGTGTTCGAGCGTACGCGATAGCCATACCACTCGGTAAGGAATGGAAAATTCCTTACACCACCCCCCCCCCTTAGCGAAGGTGATCGATATCAGCTACGTTCTTGCGGTCCAAATAATTCGCAAGTATCGAAGGTGACTCTATCTGGTCCGAGGGCACCCACATGTCGTCCTCACTGGTACGATTGGTCCATCGTATCAGAAAGTCAACATGTCGTCCTTCACAGTCGATACGAATCCGATGGCTCAAGATCTTCGAAGGCTCGATGGTCGTCTCGGCTGGTGGCCGTACATCTGGAACCAATCGCTGTCGAGCGATGTCCGACATGTCAGGCACGAAGGGTCGCAACAGACTCACGTGGAATTTGTTGTGAATGCGCCAGTCATCAGGTAGGCGCAACTGGGTGGTCACCGGCGTCACCATCTTCATGATTTTGAACGGGCCACAGAAACGTGGTCGCAATTTTGTCTGTAGTGGCAGTCGTAAATTCTTGGTGTCCAAAAGGACTAGTTGCCCTGTCGTCATCGTAATATCCCGTCGATATAAATCTGCATATCGTCGGGCAGTTGCGTTCGCCTTGCGAATAAGTTCGACAGCTTTGTCTCGGGCAGTCTGTAATTCTTCGACGAACTGCTGCGATCGTGGTACTTGACTCTCAACGTTGGTGGAGATCGGCACTGTAGGGTCCATCCCGTAATTGAGATAAAACGGGGAGTGATTAGTCGTAGCCGAGGGCACGTTGTTGTAGGAAAATTCCAACATGGGCAGCACGTCCTCCCATTTTTTTCGGTCGGGGCAGTTTGTCCGAATCAGCTGCTCCATCGTTTGATTTGTCCTTTCCGTCTGGCCGTCCGTTTGTGGATGATACGCGGATGAGAACTGTAGACGCGTGCCATACCGAGCCCACGTGTCCTGCCAGAATTTCGACGTGAACTTCGGATCTCGATCGCTAATGATTGCTGCTGGTATCCCGTGTAGTCAAACGACGGTCGAGATGAACAGGCGCGATGTTTCTTCGGCTGTGATGGTTGTACGACATGGTGCGAAATGCGCCATTTTCGTCAATCGGTCGACGACAACCAAAACCGCGTCGTTTCCGCTAGATCCGGCCGGTAGTCCCGTAACGAAATCCATCGTTACGTGTTGCCATGGGCGTTGAGGTGGCTCGAGGGGCTGCAACATTCCTGTTGGTCGCTGGTGTGAGGATTTCATTCGCTGGCAGATCGGACACGCGGCCACGTAACGCTGCACGTCCGTCACCATATCTGGCCAGTAATAAAACCGCTGCAACGCCTTCAGAGTTTTATCAACCCCGAAATGTCCCGATAAGTAGACGATAACTTGGGACCCAAATTCGATCAGTCCCGCTTCGTAAGTAATAGACGCCTTTCCGCGTAGTGATTGGGAGATGGCCGTCGTTTACGAAGAAGGGGTCAGTCGAATACCCGTGGGTAAATAGTCCACTCAGTAGCGGGTTGCTCTGGGCGACTAGTACTGCTGCGAGTTGGGCAGATGGTCTGGAAAGGGCGTCGGCGATATTGTTGGCGCCCTTTTTGTACGTGATCTTGTACGTGAAATTCGACTCCAGATAGTCCAGCCAGCGTATCTGCCGCGGGTTGAGATTCGGCTGCGCCCTCAGGTACTGTAGTGATTTGTGATCGGTTCGCACCGTCACGTCTGCTCCAGTCAGGTAGCACCTCCAGATTTTGAACGCGTGGACGATCGCCAGCATCTCCTTGTCGTGTACCGGGTAGTTACGCTCAGCAGATTGCATTTTCCGAGACTCGTACGCGATTCGTTGAAGCCCGTTGCCGAAATCCTGCATGAGCACTGCTCCGATGGCGATGTCACTTGCGTCGGTGATGACTTCGAAGGGCCGTTCCGGGTCAGCGATGCGAAGTACCGGTGGCGACATTAAAAGAGTTTTTAATGCCTCGAACGCAGCTTGCTGCTTCTCCCCCCACTCGTAAAAAGTCCCTTTCTGCAGTAGGTCGGTTAGAGGTCCAGTTAACCCCGCCATGTTGGGTATAAACCTCCGTACGTAATTCACGAAACCCTGAAATGATTGCAGCTGCTGCAGATTTGTCGGCGGTTGCCACTCCTGAATAGCCCTGAGTTTTTTCGGGTCTATTCGAATCCGCTCCGTGGAGATCACATGCCCCAGAAACTCCAGTTCTTGTTTAAAAAACTCGCACTTAAAGCCCTTGGTGATGAGACGATTCTGCTGCAACCGCTGAAAAACTGCTTCCAAATCTTTTAAATACTGCTCACGGGTCTTGCTGTAGATCAGGATGTCATCCAGGTAAATTATTACGCATTTGTCGAGTAGATCGCGGAATACCCCATTCATGGTGAGTTGAAACGTCGAGGGGGCGTTCGTTAATCCAAACGGCATCACCGTGTATTCGTAACTCCCGTAGCGAGTACGAAACGAGGTCTTGTGGCAGTCGTCAGCGAACACTCGAATTTGATGGTAACTGCCATGAAGGTCGATCTTCGAAAAGTAACGAGCTCCGCGAAGGTTGTCGATCAGTTCGTCCGTTCGTGGGATTGGGTAGCGCGATTTAATCGTTACCCGATTAAGGGCACGATAATCCGTACACATGCGAAGTCCACCGTCCTTTTTTGGTGTGAACAGGATCAGTGCTGCGAACGGGGATGTGCTCGGCCGAATGAACCCTTTCGCCAGCAGGTAGTCCAACTGGTTTCGTAACTCCTGTAGCTCCGGCTGAGTCAGGCGCCATTGCGTGCGTACAGTAGGCTGCGCGCCGGGCTCCAGCTCGATTTTGTGATCCTGGGGTCGTTCGGGTGGCAGTCCACTTGGCAAGTCGTCCGGGAAGATCTCAGGATATTCTCGAATGATTTTCGCCAAGTCATCCGGGACCGAGGCGCAGAGTTTGTTGATGTCGGTCGCCTCATTCTGCTCCGTCGATTCGGTTAGATGGACGGCGTATAAATCCGCTCCATTCTTGACCGCTCGATTGAGGTACACCGCGTTGACTCGTGTCGATGTTGTCTCTGCTTCCGGCCACGTGGGTAATTTTCGCCAACCTTTGTCGCACTTCACTGTGCACTCGCCTGTTGTCCAATCGATCTGCGGGTTGAATCGTCGCAGCCAATCGCGTCCCAATAGCACGTCGTAGCCGTCGAGCATTGTCGCCAGCATCGGCGCGCTGAAACCAAAATCGTCGCCACACTTCATTCGAACGACAGGTACTTTGTCGCGTATCGCCAACGGGGTGCCGTCCACCAATCGCGCGTCGATTTCGGGTAGACACCGCTCCAGCGTCAGGTGTAGTCGTCGTGCTGTCTCTCGATTTATCAGGCTGTGACTCGCACCTCCGTCGATGAATATTTTTATTTTTCTTCCATGAAGTCGTCCTTCCGCCAGTACAGGGTGGTCCACTGGGTCATCCTCCCTTTTCAGCCGGGAGCGGTTGATAGCATGTATCGGAACCACTACTCGGTGGGGATGTTGTTTTTCGGGCGATGAGGCAGGGTCAGTAGGGGGCCCGACCGCTACTGACGCTTGGCGTTTCCCGACCTGTCCTCGTCGTTCTTCTTTATCTGCTTCTTTCGGGGGCAATCGTGAGATTGGTGACCCGGCTGGTGGCAGTTGAAACATTGTCCCTTGCGAAAATCGTCCATGTGCTCCTTCGCCACTACGCCGTGAATCGTGGGCCGTGGATTCTGGCCACGAAAACGATTTCCCTCCCGGGAACCCGCTCTCGCATACGTCCGATGCGCGTCGAAGTTGTCTGCGATCCGAACGGCTTCGTGAAACGTCGCCGGCAGTCGCAGTCGGACCTCGCATTTAATGTCCTGCTTCAAACCCGAAATGAATCGAGCTTTCTTCTCGGAGTCATGCATGTCGGTGATTTGGTCGCATAACGCCATGAAGACCGACGCGTAATCCTGGACAGAACTCCACTGGCGCCAGTTGTCCAGCTTCGTACGTGCGTTGTCCGAGGCGGATATGGGCTCGAACCGTTCACGCAGAGCTGTACCCCACGCCTTCCACGTGCGAATCTTGGTCAATCCAAAAATCGCGGTTGACCCTTGGGCAGCAGACCCAAAGTTTCCGAAAAACCCCTGTGTGTCGCCTGTCGAAAACTCCCCCTCCTGTAGAGTATATCGCCACCAATCTAGCGTAGGTCCCCGCAGTAGTGATACAGCTAGTCGAATTTTTAAATCGTCAGCAGTGATCCCAGCCGCATTAAAATAAAGTTCCGCCAAGAATAACCAGCCCGTAACAGTAGTATTCTTATCTGTGGGGTTGAACGGGGGCGGCATTGTCGGTTTGATTGTCGTTGTCGTCACGATCGGCATAAACGCGGATGCGGCTACAGTAGCGGCTGCTTCTGACCGAGCGGCTGCTGCTGTCGCTGCTGCTGCTGCTGCTGCTGCTGCTGCTTCGGCTGCTGCCCGTGCTGCCACGTCAGCTGCTGCGGCGGCTTCACTGTCCTTGCGCTCCTGTGACACCTCACGTGCAATTTCGTCCAAGACGGTTTCGACACGTCCGGTGCTGGCGACCTCCTCTTGGGCGGCAATTTTCTGATGCGAATCCTCTCGCGCCTGGCGTAACTCAGCAACTTCCGCACGAAGTCGCTCGTTGTCCTCCAACACTGTAGCCATGCGCGTGTTCATGGCGTTGAACTGCTCCCGAAGCTCGTTGAACTGAGCTTGGTCCATTTGGCGAATGCTCCGCCGGGGCAGGGGGAATTCCGTCGTGTGCCTGTACTCAGGTAAGCGCAAACGCTATCGTAGTTGGGCGAATTAATTAATCTAATTCGCGCGCAACCGCTTTGCAGCTTACGTGAGGGACCTACCCCCCCCAAAAAAAAATCAACTCACGAAAACGGGTGAGCGAGGAAAGTGGCTCTGAATACCACGTGTTATGAATGAACAAGCAGAGTAGCGCGGAAATGAATAACGAAGTGTTCACTCAATGAATGACGATACAAGGAATGGCATGTCAAACATGTCTATTTGTTATGTTTGTATAGACTGTATAGGGTAGCCTCTTAGAGGGTACAACACTTAGCTATATTGTGTGTACTCTCTCTCTATCATCAACACTTGAATTTCTGATATGGTATCACGCGTATGTAGGATCCCCCCCCCCCCTCCACCTACCGCTTCCGCTCGCCCCCCCTAGCCCCGTCGCGACCCCCGCTAGACCCGTCGCGCCCCTCCCTGGGCCCCGTCGCGCTCCTTCCTAGGCCCCGTCGCGCCCCTTCCCAGGCCCCGTCGCGCCCCTCCCAGGCCCTGTCGCGCCCCTCCTGGGCCCCGTAGCGCCCCTCCTGGGCCCCGTACCGCCCCTCCTGGGCCCCGTAGCGCCCCTCCTGGGCCCCGTCGCGCCCTTTCTAGGCCCTGTAGCGCCCCTCCTGGGCTCTGTCGCGCCCCTCCCAGACCCCGTAGCGCCTCTCCTGGGTCCCGTCGCGCCCCTCCCAGGCCCCGTAGCGCCCCTCCTGGGTCTCGTCGCGCCCCTCCCAGGCCCCGTAGCGCCCCTCCTGGGAACCGTCGCGCCCCTCCTGGGCCCCGTAGCGCCCCTCCTGGGCCCCGTCGCGCCCCTCCCAGGCCCCGTAGCGCCCCTCCTGGGACCCGTCGCGCCCCTCCTGGGCCCCGTAGCGCCCCTCCTGGGCCCCGTCGCGCCCCTCCCAGGCCCCGCAGCGCCCCTCCTGGGCCCCGTCGTGACCTTCCTGGGCCCTGTAGCGCCCCCCCCCTGGGCCTCGTCGCGCCCCTCCCAGGCCCCGTCGCGCCCCTCCTGGGCCCCGCAGCGCCCCTCCTGGGCCCTGTAGCGCCCCTCCTGGGCCCCTGCAGCGCCCCTCCTGGGCCCCCCCCCGTCGCGCCCGCCCGGTCCTGTCGCACCAGCCCGGCCCCGTCGCCCAAGCCCGGCCCCGTCCTGCTCGCCCGACCCCGTCGCAGCCGCCCGGCCCCGTCGCATCAGCCCGGCCCCGTCGCGCCCGCCCGGCCCCGTCGCACCGGCCCGGCCCTGTCGCCCCCGCCTGGCCTAGTCGCCCCTGCCCGGCCCCGTCGCGCTCGCCCGGCCCCGTCGCCCCGGCCCGGCCCTGTCGCACCAGCCCGGCCCTGTCGCGCCCGCCCGGCCCCGTCGCGCCCGCCCGGCCCCGTCGTCCTCGCCCGGCCCGGTCGCACCTGCCCGGCCCCGCTGCCCCGGCCCCGTCCTCCTCACTGCTACGGTTCCCCCCCACCCCGCCCAGCACTGCCCTGCACCGTCCCGCCACGCACCACCCTGTACTGCCTTACACCGCACTGCACCGCACTGCACCGCACTGCACCGCACTGTACCGCACTGCACCCCACTGCACCGCACTGCACCGCACTGTACCGCACTGCATCGCCCTGCACCGCACTGTACCGCACTGCACCGCACTGCACCGCACTGTATCGCACCGCACTGGACTGTTCCTGATGGCGACGGAGCTTCGCTTCGACGCTGAAGGTCAGCCCCTAGAGTTCGAGGCGTGGCTTGCCGACCTCCGCCGCCAACTCACTGGCCAGCGGCAGGATGGTGAACCGCTTTCCGCACACCTTGACGGTACGCTCCCCTGCCCAGACCCTCCTGCTATTCTGCCCGCTGACCCCACACCCACTGAGCGTGAGTCTACTGCTGCCACTGCCCGTGCGCGCTCTGTCTGGCTTTCTCGTGATGCTGTCGCCCAGCTCGCCATTAGCAACGCCCTCCCCCCGTCCGAGCGTCCTCGCTTTAGGTCCCTCACTACTGCTCAGGCATACTTAGATGCTGTCATCAAGCGCTATTCCACCCCTCCGGCTGCCTCGGTGGGTCGCCTGATCCTCCCGCTGCTCTTTCCTGACCTTGCTTCTTTCCCCACTGTCTCTGACCTCGCTGCCCACCTGCGCTCGATAGAGGAGACCTGGCGCGCCACCTGCACTGACGCACAGCTTAGAGCCCACCAGCTGCCCATTACCTCTACCCTCTACCTGCTTGCCACCCGCCTCCCTGACCGCCTTGCTGTCGCCCGCGACCGCTTCCTTAGTGTTCACCCCGCAGACCTCACCCTCACTGACTTTGTCGACACCCTGACTGTGATAGAGACCCGTCACCGCTCCATCGCCCAGGCGAGCGGTGTCGTGCCGGTCCCTATCTTTCAGGGTTGTGCCCCCGCTCAGTGCACCTTCTCCGACGGCTCTGCCGCAGTGGCTAAGACTGCTGCTGTAGCGCAGGCCCGTTCTGGGAAGGGCCGCCGCCCCAAGGCTGGGCGCGGCGGAGGGGGCGGCGGGGGTGCGGACGGGGGTAGTGGTGGGGTCGGGTCGCCTGGTGGTGGAGCGGACGAGGGGACCCTGCCCAGTCCAGCTGAGTCGCCGCCCCTGCAGTTGCAGCAGCCGCAGCAGCCGCCGCAGTCGCAGCCTTCGCAGCAGCCGCAGCAGCCGTCGCAGACGCGGCAGACGAGTGTTCTCCCGCCAGGGTGGCCCGGCGCTGGCGGTGGATGGGCGCGTGGTGGTGTGCCGCGTGGTGGCTCTGCCGGCGGGCGTTGTCAGTACCAGATCCAGACCGGTCCTCGCCGTGGCTTCGTTTGCGGTAAGATCGGTCACTCCACTCCCCGCTGTTTTCGTCGCCTGGACGACCTCTTTCGTCAGCGCTTCGGCCCAACGCCAGACCTCCCGGACTGGCACAGTTTACTTAGTCGTCAGATTCAGATCTTTGATATGGACATGGATGCCATTGTTTCTGCTCTGCATGTGATGTATGCTGATGACTCTAGTGTGCTTCCCTCTTATTACTCACTGTTGCCTAGTGTAGGTGTGCCTAGCTTAGCCTCCCCTGCTGCGTCAGGCGTAGGATCCCGTGCTTTGTGTAGTCTTGGTGCTTCTGCCGTCGTTCCGTCGCCACACCCCTCGGCTTCGCTTTCCTTCACCTTGGACTCTGGCGCCTCTCGGTGCTTCTTCCGCGACTCCACCACCCTGATGCCACTTCCTGTTCCTGCTGCCGTTTCTCTTGCTGACCCCTCCGGCGGTCCGGTAGTCGCCCGCAGTTCCACCACCCTTCCCTGTCCGGCGGTTCCTTCGGGCTCTCTTACAGGTCTGCATATCTCGTTCTCCAGGAACCTAGTTGGTTTCGGCTGCCTCCAGGACCTTGGCGTCACCACTACGTTCCCTGGTCACGAGCGGTATGCTGTCTGTACCGAGGCCGCCACTGGTGCCCCCTTGTCCACGTTCCCCCGGGACCCAGTGTCCGGCCTGTTCACTCTGGACACCGTGCCCCCCCCGGCTGGAGCGCCCCCTCAGGTGGCTGTGTCTACCCAGGTTGCTGCTGCCTGCTCCTGTCGCTCCCTCACTCACCCGACTCTCCTGTAGCACCACCGCCTAGGTCACCCTGCGCTCCCGCGTCTGCGTCACATGTCCCAGCACGGTCTTGTCCTTGGTCTCCCAGGTTCCCTCCCCGCGTTTCCCTCCTCCCCAGCTCCACCTTGCACGCCTTGTGTCGAGGGTCGGCTTCGCCGTGCCCCTCACTCCTCCTCATTCCCCCCTACCGCCGCGCCGCTGCAGACCCTGCACCTGGACGTCTGGGGCCCCGCCCCCGTCCCTGGGCCGCGTCGCGAGCGCTACTTCCTTGTGCTTGTCGACGACTTCACTCGTTACACCACAGTCTTTCCCCTGGAGCGCAAGGCCGACGTGCCTGGCGCCCTCATCCCCTGGCTTGTCTCTGCGCGTGTCCACCGCGGTCTCCCTGTCTTGCGTCTTCACTCAGACCGTGGTGGCGAGTTTGCCTCAGGTGTCCTTGGTCGCTTTTGTCGTGCGGAGGGCATCACCCAGACGTTCACCCTACCGGACTCCCCACAGCAGAATGGGGTCGCTGAGCGACGCATCGGTTTGGTCATGGAGGTCGCTCGCACCTCCATGGTCCATGCCGGTGCACCCCATTTTCTGTGGCCGTTCGCTGTGCGCTACGCTTCTCACCAGCTTAACATGTGGCCGCACCCTCAGCAGCCGCAGGTTTCGCCGACCCGTCTGTGGACTGGGTCTCCTGGTGACGCGTCTGCGTTCCACGTCTGGGGCTGCCTTGCTCACGTTCGTGCCTCCGGCACGGACAAGCTCACTGCCCGCACCCTTCCCTGCGTCTTCCTCGGTTTTCCCCTTGACGCGTCCGACTGGCACTTTTACCACCCGCCGTCTCACCGGTTCTTTCACTCTCGTGACGTCACCTTTGACGAGTCCGTCTCCTACTACCGCCGCTTCCCCCACCGTGGTCCCCCGGTTACCCCCCCCCCTGTTCCTGGTCACCCCTTCCCCGGTAGTCCCTGCCCCTCCTCCTCCTCCCCGTCCCGCCCCCTCTGGTGTCTCCCACGTCACCCCCCTTCCGTCCGTGGACCCGGTTGAGGAGTCTTCTGACTCTGGTGGCCCTCCGGTGCAGTCCTCGCCGGCCGCCCCTCCCCAGGTGTCCCCTCCCTAGTCCCCTCCTCCGCCGCCCCTGCCGCCGCTGCAGCCGTCGCCGCCGCCGCCGCCGCCGCCGCCGTCGCAGCCCCCGTTCGCTGACTCTGGGGGTGCTCGTCCCGGTCGCCCTGAGGGTGGTCCCTCTGGGGGTGCGGGTGTGGAGAGTGCCGGTGGTAGCTTGCGGTCCAGGTGTCGCCGTTGTGCCGCCGCAGCAGCAGTCCCCACCGGTGTCCGCCCTTCGCCTGCTCGGCCTTCCGTCCCCCGACCCTGCGTCGGTTCCTCCCCGACCGTCTCCTCCTCTTCCTGTCTACGGCCCTGTTTTCCCTCCGCCGGACTCGTCCCCGGCCCGTCTCCCCCCTCGTTCCCCTCCTGTGTCCCCTCCCCTGTCTCCTGACCCGACTCCTCCGTCCCACGTCTGGTCTCACCGTCCCTCCCGTGCTCGTCCTGCCTCGCCTGTTTTGCGCTCTGATACCATATCAGAAATTCAAGTGTTGATGATAGAGAGAGAGTACACACAATATAGCTAAGTGTTGTACCCTCTAAGAGGCTACCCTATACAGTCTATACAAGGTGAAGCGCCCTCCTGGAGAGCCGCCTGTCTTCAAGGCGCGCTATGTGGCTAGAGGCTTCAGTCAGCGCGAGGGGGTGGACTTCTTCCAGACTTTCGCTCCGACCCCGAAGATGACTACTCTTCAGGTTCTGTTACACCTCGCTGCTCAGCGTGACTACGAGCTTCACTCCCTCGACTTCTCCACTGCCTTCCTTCAGGGCAGCCTACACGAGCAGGTCTACCTGCGCCGCCCTCCGGGCTTTACTGTCACCTTCCCTCCTGGGACCCAGTGGCTCCTGCGGCGCCCCGTCTACGGCCTGCGACAGGCTCCCCGTGAGTGGCACGACACTCTCCGTGCTACGCTTGCTGACCTGCAGTTCTTTCCGTCTTCTGCAGACCCTTCACTCTTCATTCGTGCTGGCCAGACTCCGTTCTACATCCTCGTTTACGTCGACAACCTGGTCTTTGCCACAGCAGACAGGGACGCGCTGGCCTCCGTGAAGGCAGAGCTGCTGAAGAGACACACCTGCACTGACCTTGGAGAACTGCGCCGTTACCTTGGCTTGCAGATCTCCAGGGACAGAGCTGCGCGCACCATCACCCTGACTCAGTCACACTTGGTGCGCCAGGTCCTTCAGAGGTTCAGCCTTCAGTTCTCCTCTGCACAGCCCACCCCTCTGCCTGTAGACCACAGGCTCTCCGCTCCAGTGCCTGAGGAGTTGGTAGAGCCCAGCGGCCCCTACGCAGAGCTGGTGGGTTGCCTCATGTACCTGATGACTTGCACTCGCCCAGATCTCGCATACCCTCTCAGCATCCTGGCTCGCTTTGTGGCCACAGGCAGACACCGACCGCAGCATTGGTCTGCTGCTAAGAGGGTTTGGCGTTATCTTGCTAGTAGATCGGGCATGGGGTTAGTGCTAGGAGGACGCAGGCCAGTGGTCCTTACTGGGCACACAGACGCTTCGTGGGCAGACGACGCTGTGACACTCAGGTCTACCCAGGGCTACTGCTTCAGCCTTGGCTCAGGTGCCGTCTCGTGGAGAGCTACTCGCTCCTCGTCTGTTGCACAGTCCAGCTGTGAGGCGGAGATCTACGCCGGTGCCATGGCGGCGCAGGAGCTCCGCTGGCTGACCTTCTTGCTCACTGACTTAGGTGAGCGGCCTAGCTCTGCCCCGGTCCTGTTCGCTGACAACAGGGCCATGATCCTCCTGTGTCTGGAGCCTCGACTCGAGGGCAGAGCGAAGCACATTCAGCTGCGGTACTTCCTCCTGCGTGAGCTACAGCAGCGACGTCAGGCTCGCGTAGTACACTTGGCCTCAGGTGCCAACACGGCTGATATCTTTACGAAGGCGCTTGCGCCTAAAGATCATCAGCGGCACTGTGTACAGCTTGGTCTAGTTCCTGTAGCCTCTCACTTGCTAGGACCTTGACTTTGTACTGTCCTTTATATGTATACTCAGACTGGACTTGTGTCCTCTCCCAGTGGCTGGACTAGTAGTGCCGCCCTGTTCTTGTGCTTGCCTTGTCTGTACTTCTGCTGACTGGTCGCTCAGACCCTTGTCTCAGAGGTTGGACTAGTAGTGCCGCCCTGAGCTGTTTGTTTAGGACTTTCCCCTATGCAGTCTAGGGGGTGTGTCAAACATGTCTATTTGTTATGTTTGTATAGACTGTATAGGGTAGCCTCTTAGAGGGTACAACACTTAGCTATATTGTGTGTACTCTCTCTCTATCATCAACACTTGAATTTCTGATATGGCAAGCCAAGATATAGGAACACCAGAGCTAGTCTAACCATGCGATGGGAAGGTTCGGGAAGGAGATCGAAGGGTCTTGAAGTGACGAAGCGAGGCCTGGAGAACTCCTGAAGGTCGAACCGGAAGGTCTGGAAAAGCCGAGGCGGTTCTGTCAGAAGGTCTGGAACAGTCCCGAGGCTTCAGGTGTGTTCGAGCGTACGCGATAGCCGTACCACTCGGTAAGGAATGGAAAATTCCTTACATCGAGCTTGCACTGCTCAGTGACGTGCGAGTCTGATAAGAGACACTCTGATAAGAGGCAAAATCTACAGAAATCCATTGAAAATGAACCAGGGGGGTGGTGTATAGGATTCATGCCAAAAACTAGGGTGGTATGAATATCCAGTTTAATTAAGCACCCAGGTCCGCCCAAACCACCCATGGGTGATTAATTCCGGCGGGTGTTTTATCCGGGGGAATACGGTATTTGTTCTAGGTTTTTTCTCCTAGTTCATTATTCAGTTCTTACGCCATACGGTAACTTGAGATCATTCAAGCCAGGGAGGTTTCCCCCCGGCCAAACACCATGTCCTCTACTGTCACCACTGCCCTTCCTCTCACTCGGAAGGGGCTGTGCCTTTGCACTTGCCCCCTGTCAAAAGCGTCCACCTCGCTCTGTGCTGCACTGAAAGATTCAAGCCCTCGGGATTGGCTTCTCCTGTGCATGCTGCTGATGCTGCTGGTGTTCCCATTGTTCACATTGCTCACATGGTTGACATTGTTCCAGATATTGCTGCTGCTGCTGCTGACGTGGCCGAATCCAGTGCTCATGCTCAATCTGATGCCGTCGTATCGTGCACTGTAGCTTCGCAGAGGCCCGCCTGAGTCGCTGTCACACTCGCTGCAGCCAATGCCGGGCGAATACTGGGGATGGATGTGCCGCCCGGCAGTGCACCAGCCCCGGTGCATCAAGGGCGAGGAGGGGAGCTCCTGGGCGGCAGCGGCAAACATCTGGGCAGCAGCAACGTCCAGTTCGTAGCTGAAATCTTCCGGAACCGCCGAGAACTGGGCGGCTGCTCTTGGGCGGCTGGAGCCCGAAGCTCCAATAGGGCAGGGAAGGGATGGTGATGGGGATGGTGGGGTTGGAGGGCCTCTCGGGGAGAGCATGGGGGAAGGGAACGTGGAATGGGCGGCGGCAGACGAGGTGGGCGAGAGGGTGAGGGAGTGGGTGAGGGCTCTGGAGAAGTGTGATGTCGGGGTGGTGGAGCGCTTGCCGCTGCAGCAGGCGCAGGGCGTGCGGTAGAGGGACGGCATGGGGAAGGGGGAGAGGGAGAGAAGAGGTGGTTGCTGGCCTGGCGCTGCTGCCGGGAGCAGTGCGGGGGAGCAATTCTCTGAAGTCGCAGCAGAAGTCGTGGCTGATGATACTGCGGACGACGTTGCTGAGAACGCGGCGCGCGACTGTGTGCTTTCGCCGGATGAGGCACTTCTTCTCATAGTGGTGTTGCTGCCATTGCTGCGGGTCGAAGAGGTGGTGCTGCTGGTGCCGTTGTACGAGAGGTCACGGGTTACCACATTGGCGTCAGAGATTCTGTAGGAGTTTCCGAGAATACTCGCCACCAGCCCCTCCTCCGTTATAGTCACATCGTCCAGCGGATGCTCCTCCGGCTCCAGATAATTCTCACTCGCGACATTGTCCGCGTTAGTAGAGTCGTCCCGTTGCACGGCCAATAGGGCGGCAGAGTCTCCCTCGTCAGACTCATCTCGAGACGCGCCAAAATCGTCGGCCGGATTCATCCCATTGACGCCGGGCGCGGGAAGCGCGGCGTCGGCCAGGGGCGGCTGGAGGAAGTACACATGTCCGGGCTTTATCACTTGCTGTGGCCGCAGGACAGCATTGGATGACGTCAGCAATCCCACTTGGTAGCCGACGGGGTGATCGCGAAGCACGTCGCTCGCGTGGGTGGGCCTGGGGGAGGCGTCATTCACGACGCGCATGGATGTGACTCCAGACGACTCGGCTGAATTGGTTGCTTTCTTCGGGCTGCGCGCGGTGGGAAACTTGGAAGCACACGTGACGATTTGGACGGAGCCGTCCGGAAGCAGGAGGAGCGCCGGCTCCGGCGAGTCGCCGTCTTTTTCAACCAGTTGCGGACGTGAGGCTGACGGCGGCTTGGCGGCGGCTGACGGTGCCGCCGCCTTGGAGGTCCGCGCCGCCCTTTTTCCGTCGCGTTTCGCATCCCACTTCTTCTGCGTCGGCGTCGGCGCGCGGCTGCTGCTCAGCGCCTGCGTGAGGCGCGACCAGCCGCCCGCGGAAAACTTGGGCGGCGCGGCGGAGGTGGCGGAGCAGGCGGCGGAGGCTCCCGACGCGGCGGTGCTATCTAGCCACCGCGCCGCGGTGGCGGCGGCGTCGAGATCCTCGAAGAGCGAATTGTTGAAGAGGAGCGAATGGATGGGCAGCCCCGCGTTCGCGCCTCCTGGACACATGATGACGACGGAAAACAACGGCGATCGATGATGGCGCGAGAGCGAGGAAGAGGGACGAGGGCGAATGGCGGCGGCAGTGGCTTCTTACGAGTGTCGCACGTCGCGTATGGCGGCGGTGGTTGCGGTCGGGCGATCTTCGGAAGTTCTGGAGATTCGTGGCGGAAGGAATCTTGGCGGACTCGACGATCAGGGCAACTCAGGGAACTGCCAATTCGCGCAGCCCTAAAGTTTAGCGCCCCGAGGTCAGAAAAGAATGAGGAATAGGAGTCTAAATTTGTGATGGTAGTTTCGCGACAGAGGACTCTCTCCTGTGGGGTACTGTGCTCAGCGAAGGTAGCGCCGAAGGGTCACTCTCTCTTGAGCACAGATCGACGCCAGGGATTGGATTGCTTTGCCGAGCTGTATGGCGGAACTAATGCTGCTCTGCTGTGCTGTAATTGTGGTGGATTAGTTGACCATCGAAGAACAAAATAGTTCGCCTAGGCGTTTCAACGGGGTGGGACGGGGAGGCTAGTACATTAAATTCTCGGTAGTTTGTGCAGATGTTTTCAAATCTGACGTGACAGGAATCCGCAGAAAGCCCTAAGCTGAAAAGCGCAAAATACTGTACAGTTTGCTCCCAGGTGGTAAAGAACAAGCAAAATCGGGCACTGTTAGGCATTGGTCGGGTGTGTCACAAATCGAGCGAGGTTTGCCAGCCCTGCGATAGACCTGGATCCCTTCTACTGTACTGGTTTCCGGGGGAAAAAAATAATCTATAGATAAATGGGTGTAAATGGTCAAGACGCGTACGTGTGGCACTGGTGCGGGAGAGGCTCGGACAGTAGCGGCTCGGTGGACGAAGGTTATCCGAACCAAAGGCAGGCCCACTGAGGTTTGGTAAGGAAGAAGATGGTTTCGAGCCCAACGCGAGGAGAGCCAACCAAGACTGTCGGGTCAGGCTTTCATCGGTCAAGTTCCGGAATCGGATTATTGGTTACTGAGTTCTGCCCGGAATCGAGTTGTGTTGTGCAAAGTTCTGCCCTCCGATTTTACACAAAACACTGGGCTGTACAAAGTTTGGGTTCGCGCACAAAGCGATGCAGGGAGTTTCATTATCCGTGAATTAAAAATACAACCCAGCAGGGGGTGGGTGGGGGGGGGGGGGGGGCTGGAGGAAAAACTCACCACCGTGACATTCTGAGTGCTGGTTCGGACATTGTCCTCGGCCTGGTGTTACTGGGGGGTTGCTTGGTTCCTTGGCTGTACACGATTGTTTTGAGCCTGCAACATTGTGTCATATACTGAACACACTCCCACCGTGTTTCCTGGTCAAGTACAGTGTAGTGTGACTTACTTATGCAGTGTTGAGGGACGACCGAGCTGCAAACCAACAGGTCTTCGCAGTGACCGGCGGTTTGTAACATGCTACAATTACATCGATTTATTCAGAACAATATTCCTTTCTAGAACAGATTTAGGAAAAACAAATGCAACTACTGTAAACGGTAATGCTTGGTTCACACGAGAACCTACGTGCGCAATCTCTCTTGTCTAGTCATTCACACACCTGCCCCTCCCCCTTCCCCCTGCCTCCCGCCTCCCGCCCGCCACCGTTTCGCGAAACCTTTCAGCAAATGGGCACTTCCAAAAGCATGCACGCAGTACACCTGTTATTCTATTTAACTTCGTGCATTTTGCAAGTCGATTGAGCCCGTAAACAAGAAATCGTAAGACACGGGCAAACGTGACCTTAAACAATGACACTTGGTTACAAAATCTCGCTCATGCAGGAGATTAGTTGGCCGCGCGACGTCCCAGATCTGAAATAAAATTGTCGAAATACAACTTGGTAGTTCGTTATCGTTCACACTGCAGCCAATCAGGTTCAGTGTCAACGCGAGTCATGCTGAGAGCCTGGTAGGTGAGATTATAATTTAGACTTTTCCAAGTGAGACAATAGAACAAAATAAGTGTACAAGCAACTCCATTCTCGCTGGGGCGGGAAATTGGGAAGGGGGGAGGGAGGGGGACGTTGCTTTGCCGGGCACCAGGAGGGTCCATCCGTCGGGTCGAGTGGAGAGCAGGCCTCAGGGAGTCAGGAAGTTTTACCCTGTTTAGCCTGTTTTCCAAAGTGACTTTTAGACATTGCACTGCATGAGAAGGGTCAGGGCTATCGGATGCATTCAATGCGATACCAAAATAGACGAAATCAGACTTTCGTGACCCTTACGCCCTCTGCTTTCCGAAGCTTGATAGCAAAACTTTTGCTTATTTTACAAAAACTTGGCTAAATTCCGAGTCAATTGGAATCACGTTATTCAGACTCAAGTACTGAGACCTAAGTCTCAACTAAGCTCAGTCGCCGTTTCTGGCAGGGACATATTTCTACCCTGTAATTCTTCACAAGGAGCCGAACCTCACCCTGCAGTGGCAGGATGAAGCTCCGCCCCCGCTCAATACTGGTTGTGCTCCCCCAAACACATCGAGACAAGAGCCCTGGTCAAGACAGGTTAGGGGCTGAATAAACGAGGAGACCACGGGCGGCCACACTCTTGCGAAGGGCACCACGAACAACACCTACAGCCACATCCCCCATTCAAAGCTTCCATGGAAAGCTAGCACATGCAAGCCTTGCCTCACTGGATTTGTCAAGGTTGCGGATTGGATAGAATTGCACGGGTGCATTTGTTGCCACGCGAAAGTTGCTCCACCCGAAAGCGACGACAAGAGCACCACCAGCAATGCTGACTTCCGACGAAGGATCAGGGCCATATTCCAATTTTTATAGCCTTGGACGCAAGTTTCTAGAACCTGTTTTACAGCTGGTTGAGAAAAACCAGGTTTTGTGTCGTGAGGGTGTGTGAATTGTAACACTCGCAGGCGATTGCACTGGCGCCTACAGCTCGCCGGCCAATCAATAGTTTTAGTCCCACCCAACTGTTTTACAGTTGGTAAACTTGGGTCCTTGGCTTTAAGGTCAGCAAAAGTGTTTGGGGGACGTCTGTAGACCGTTACAGCTCAGCAGAAGTGTGTGAGAACACTTGGCGCACGCTTTGTCTCGAGGTTTGACAGGATCCCGCCCAGGCCTGTCGATTCAAGGGCAAATGCCCTTAATGCCCTGAACATTCCGGGTAAGCCGTCTGTCAGGGTCCGACTTTTCCGGGTTTTATTCGGGACTAGCCCGTGATGGTTAAGGGTTTCGTTCGGCCCTTTCTCGGATTCGTTCAAGGCGGAGTTGAGGCCTTTCCCTGATTTTTCGTAACGGGATCTCGACATACCCTGACCTATGCATGCCTTCCTTGCCCAGCCACACCACCCCGCCTTCCCCTTCGGCTAGTATAATTTGGCTAAGTCCTCCAAACCGGAGACATTCCTCCCACACCCCAACCAAATATAGGAAAATGGATGAAATCCCCCATACCCGCAGACATTCCTCCCACCCCCCTCGCACCCCCAGAGAATTTGACAAGCTCCCACAGAATAAGACAATACTCCAAAATCCCCTCCTCCCACACCCCCACTTCCCCCTCCCCTATCTCCACCGATATTTTTTTTTTGCCATCTCCAACGCGAGTCGCAAGCCCCTCCCACACACTCCCGCATCCCAGAAATTGGCCAAGTCCGTGACACCTATGAATAACTGATAAATGTGCACTACTAACAGATTTGGCATACAAATTCTCCTACGAAAATATGGTGGCCTCCCCACTCAGCACCTTGCCTACCGTGATGTACGATTACGATGTATTTTTCTCCCTCTCCAACAAAGTACAGACTCCGGCGCAGCCCTGGTTTGGACCTCAGCCCGTACACTTCAGGGCACAGTTCGGTCGCTTTCCGAAAATTTCAGGGCTGTTTTCGGGGGAACTCAACCACCCAAGAATTGGTCCCAAACCAATCGACAGCCCTGATCCCGCCCTCACCAGACTGGGCTCATGCATCAGTGAATTTGGGCAGCTAAGAAAAACGATTATAAACCTATCCTTCACGACATCAACCATTAGAACGAGCGACTCTCTCTTATTATTTCCTCATAAAATGAGTTTTTCTTATTGGAGTACACCAGACTAGCAGCCCTCACCCTCTCTAAAAAGATTCAGTTAGTGTTTATACTGATTGGAATACTCAAGCATACTTCGGCATTACTTTCCTTTCTTTCATTATTGAAATTATACATACCATCACATCCCATTCCATACTAGAAACTTACAATTGGTGCACAAGCTTTGGTCTAGAGCACAGTAAGAATTGGAAATCAAACCACGCCGCGTAGCGTAAGGTTTGAACCAGAAAATGGTTGAAAAGAAATACAAGGCATTTGTCATACTCCCTATGTTACGATGTAGTTCAATACCCTGGGCTCCTCCAAGAGCCCATGTAGCCTCTCAACTAGAAAGGTAATGCACTCGATGTACTTCAATACACTGGGTGTTCAATTATATACGTTATTATATAAGTTTAGGCCTGGTAGATGTTACTGAACATTACTGTAAATGGTACAATACCCCTCCTTGTATCCCGCTCTCTTCTTTCCTAGTCCTCTTTTCTCTCGACATTCTCGCCTACCTCCTAGATCTAATCTCACGCCATTTTCATGGCTTCACCTGTTCCTACCTAACAAGACTTCACGACATGGTTTCAGAGCAGGACGCCCTTCTCGAGCCTGCTCTCCACGCTTCCGCCGCGTACTCGTCCTTACCTTGCCGCCATCGCGGCCTTCTGTCCGTTTGTCGCCGTCGCGGCCTTCCAACTGCCCGCCGATGTGGCACCTTTTCCAAGCTGTCGCGGCGGCCTTTGTGTGATGTCGTCCCAGCGTCGACGAGCAGCCGCGGCTCCGACGCCACGCTGTGGTAGCGTCGTCGTGGTGCCGTGGCTGTGTCGTCGGCCTGTTGCCGTCGCGCACCACCTGCGTCGCTGCTGGATTTGCAGCCCGCCCGCTCGTCAGTAAGCGCCGCGCCAGCAATGGCGCCACGCTGAAGATCCGAAGCCCTGCCCCTTCCCCTTATCCTCTGTCCCCTCCTCTTCGCCACAGCCGCCGTCTGACTCTCGCCGGTCGTTCCCCTGGTGCGGAGTTTGGACACGCCGGCGGAAGGGCGGGGGCCGCTGCCGTCACCGCCGTCGTAAAGCCGAAGCCGTCGCCGTCGCCGATGTCGTCGCCGCAGGCCTGTCGCCGCCGCACGCCCGTCGTCGCCGTCGCTGTCGCCGCTGCCGGGACTGCCGCCGTCGCCATCTCTAAGGCCGTGGGGTTGGCCCTGTTGGAGTCGTCGTGACTGATGGGAATGGGGGTGCTAGGTTAGGGGGTGTGGGGGTGTGTGGGTCCCTCTACTACCAAGCCTAGGGGGTGAGTTAAATCATATAAGTTATTATATATGTCTAGGCTTGGTAGATGTTACTAAACATTACTTTAAAGGGTACAACACCCCACCTTGTATCCCTCTCTCTTCTTTCCTAGTCCTCTTTTCACTCGACATTCTCGCCTACCTCCTAGATCTAATCTCACGCCATTTTCATGGCTTCACCTATTCCTACCTAGCCTAACTTCACGACACTAGGCTCCTCCAAGAGCCCATGTAGCCTCTCTACCAGAAATATAATGCACTCAACATAATGCACGTAATCCCAAACGAATAAAGGAATGACAATAATAGAGTCAAGTTAGACCCAATATATCAAGCATATTTATATATATTATAATAGACAAGATAGGTGCATGCTCTTAGAGGGTACAACCACTTGAACAAAATCATCATGTATGCATCATCCTAGTTAACTTTTCTACTCTAACATAGTATCAAACCATCCGGGGTTCAATTCCTGGTGTACACGCTATCCCAGCGGGGGGGTGTGTTATGGCACTAGGATAACCCTGTCGATCCTCCCTCTCTCTCTCTCTCTCTCTCTCTCTCTCTCTCTCTCTCTCTCTCTCTCTCTCTCTCTCTCTCTCTCTCTCTCTCTCTCTCTCTCTCTCTCTCTCTCTCTCTCTCTCTCTCTCTCTAGGGAAGGTACTAGGAAGGCTTTTCTCGGGGAAGGTGGATATATGGAGCCTAGCGCCGCCGCTAGCGCCGCCAGTCCACCACGGCGGCAGGGGTCCCCACGGCGACTGCTGTTGTTGCTGCGGCTGCCAAGTCTGCTGCTGAGGCTGCGTCTGCTGCTACGGCTGCTCTGGAGCACCAGCCCCGGTCCCCTCGTCTGAACCACCGTCCCCGCCCTCACCGCCGCCACCCTCCTCACCGAGGTCTCCCGATTTCCCCACCCCTCCTCACCGAGGTCTCCCGATTTCCCCACCCCTGTTTCTGGTTCCCACTCCTCTGGTAGCCCCTGCTCCCCTCCCTCCCTGTCCTGTTCCGTCTGGAGTGTCTCACGTCAACTCCCTCCCGTCGCTTGTCCCGGTCGAGGAGTCGGCTGACTCTGGTGACCCCGCGGCGCAGTTCTCGCCGCCTCCCACTTTCCCGGTGTCCCCTCATCGGTCGTCGCAGTTGCCGCCGCCGTCGCGGCAGCAGCAGCCATTCGTGAACTCTGTGGGTGTTGGCGTTGAGGAGGGTGCTAGTCTTGGGGTTCCTGTCGTGGCTTGTCTCGGCTGGCTCGGGGGTGGCACCGGTGCTGGAGAGGGTTCTGGCTTAGGGGATGCTCGCGCTGGGGTTGCTGGAGTGGAGTATTCCGGAGGTAGCCGTGGTGCAGCTGGCGGTCCAGGTGTCGGCGTCGAGCAGCAGCAGGAGCAGTCGCCGCCGGTGTCCGCCCTTCGCCTGCTCACCTTCCCTCCCCTGATCGCTCCCCTGCGCCTTCCCCGCCGCCTCCTCCCCTTCCTTTCTACGGTCATGTGTTTCCTCCGCCAGACTCGTCCCCGGCCCGTTTCCCGCCTCGTTCCCCCCCTTGTGTCTCCTCCTCTGTCTCCTGACCCGACGCCTCCATCTCACGTCTAGTCTCGCCGTCCCTCTCGTTCTCGTCCTGTCTCTCCTATCACTCCCCTCCCGTCGGTCGTACATCGACGCAGTTCTCCCACCTGGGGTAAAGGTAGTCGATGGCCGGTGGCTCTTCAAGGTGAAGCGCCCCCCTCAAGAGCCGCCTGTGTTGAAGGGGCGCTACGTGGCGAGAGGCTTCAGTCAGCGCGAGGGGGTGGAATTTTTTGAGTCCTTCGCCTCGACTTCGAAGATGACTACTCTTCGGGAGCTGCTACATATAGCAGCACAGCGGGCTCCACTCCCTCGACTTCTCCACTGATTTTCTTCAAGGCAAACTACACGAGCTAGTCTTCCTGCGCTGTCCACAGGGCTTCATTGGAACCTTCCCTTCTCGGACCCAGTGGCTCCTCCGCCGCCCGGTCTACGGCCTGCAACAGGCGCCCCGTGAGTGGCACGACACGCTACGTGCTACGCTAGCTGACCTGCAGTTCTTTCCGTCCTCTGCAGACCCCTGGCTCTTCGTTCGTGCTGGCCAGACTCCGTTCTACATCCTTGTCTACGTAGACGACCTGGTCTTCGTTACGCACTGGCCTCCGTGAAGGCCGAGCTGCTGAGGAGACACACCTACACTGACCTTGGAGAGTTGCGCCGCTACCTGGGCTTGCAGATCTCCAGGGACAGAGCAGCGCGCACCATCGCCCTCACACAGTAACACTTGGTGCGCCAGGTCCTTCAGAGGTTCGGCCTTCGATTCTCCTCAGCACAGCCTACACATCTGCCAGTAGACCACATGCTCTCAGCTCCTGTTCCTGAGGAGTCTGTAGAGCCCAGTGGTCCTTACGCAGAGCTGGTGGGTTGCCTGATGTACATGAAGACTTGCACTCGTCCAGATCTCGCATACCCTCTCAGCATCCTGGCTCGCTTCATGGCGACAGGCAGACACCGACCACAGCACTGGTCGGCCGCTAAGAGGGTTTTGCGTTATCTAGCAAATACATCGGGCTGGGGCTAGTACTGGGAGGAGGCAGGCTAGTGGTCCTTATTGGGCACACTAACGCTTCTTGGGCAGACGACGCTAAGACCCTCAGGTCCTTGCAGGGCTCCTACTTTAGCCTTGGTGCAGGTGCAGTCTCGTGGAGGTCCACCCGCTCGTCGTCTGTTGCATAGTCCAACTGCGAGATTGAGATCTACGCTGGTGCCATGGCGGCACAGGAGCTCCGCTGGCTGACTTTCTTGCTTACAGACTTATGTGAGAGGCCTAGCTCTGGCCCGGTCCTGTATGCTGACAACAGGGCCATGATCTTCCTACGTCAGGAGCCTCGATTGGAGGGCAGAGCGAAGCACATCCAGCTGCGGTACTTCCTTATGCGCGAGCTACAGCAGCGTCAGGCCTGCGTAGTACACTTAGCCTCCGGTGCCAACACATGTGATATCTTTACTAAGGCACTTGCGCCTAAAGATCACCAGCGGTATTGTTTGCAGCTTGGTCTAATTCCTGTAGCTACTCACTTGCTAGGACATTGATGTTAGAATGCAAGAATGATTGACTAGTGTGAGCAACCTAGAACATATACCTATTGGGGTTGTACTCACTAGAAGCACACACCTAGGCTAGCCTATAACTTCTACATACATCATATGTATAAGTTGACACTTGATTGTGTACTTATGTTTATCTGTACCTTTCTGACTAGCCCTGTGACTTCTCTTCAAGTGGTCGGACTAGTAGTGTGGGCCTGGTTTGCTCGTCTTGTTTGTACTCTTGCTGACTGGTCTTCGGACCCTTGGCCCGGAGGCTGGACTAGTAGTGCCACCCTGAGCAGTGTGTCAACTTCCAGGCACTGCCCCTTATATAGCCTAGGGGGTGTGTCAAACATTTTTGTACATCTTATAATAGGCTAGATTGGCGCATGCTCCTTGAGGTACAACCACTAAAACAAAATCATCCGGTATGCATCATTCTAGTTACAACTTTTCTAGTCTGAGACAATTCTGCGAACACCGTCAGTGCGATTTGAACCTTTGTAACCGAAACTAGACTCCTCATCCACCTTCACTACTTCGTATAGCATAACTTGATATAACCATGCGTTGTATTTCCAACTAGGAGCATCATAATGCAGAAAACGAGCCCCCTGTACAAACACCAATATGCATCTAATTCAATTCGCACCAAATGCTACTGTCTTCTTCGCCTGTGTTAAGGAACCCATCCGCTGCAAGTCACTCTCCCCTGCTCTCCCCCCCATGCCTCTTCCCAGACTCCCGCCCACATCATTCCCACCACTGGCCCCTTGCACACACGAGCTCGTTCGTCTCAGGCACGACTTGAGTCCCCCCGGACTACTACCACCACCACCACCCATGCCGCCACCACCTCTCCCACTATCTACACCACCAGATTCAACATAACAACCATTATGTTGAAACTCACTAATCTGAGCCGGAGACGCTCCTGGTAGGATACCAGACGAGCCTCTAACCAATCGCCCTGAAGGTCTATCCATACCAGGACAATTCGCAGAACCGAGACTTCCACTAGAGTCACCTCCCACAAAGTCACCTTGCACAGAACTGGACCGCTGGTGCGCTGATCGGCCCGGGCCTACCCTCCCAGGCAAAGGAGGTACAGGCGCTGCAGATGCCGACCCCTGGTTACTGCTGTTACCGCTCCTCTCCTGGCTGCATCTAGGACCACCATTATCAGCTGCCGCAGCGGCAGCCATGGCGGCTCTTAAAGCCACTTGCTCCTTGGAGATCTGCCTCATCAAGGGGCCCATGCGGATGCCGGATGGGTGGAAGAGTGGGCCGGGGGCAGGTGGGTTCGCGGGGATGGAAGGAACCGGCGGTGGGACGTAGGGAGGGGGTGCTTTTGGCGTTGGCTTTTGAGTGGCAGGACGTGGAGGCGAGGGCGAATTGTTGCTGTTACTGCTGTTACTGGTGTTACTGTTACCTGTGTTCGCCAGGATCACCTGCCCTGGCTGGGACTGCGACCTCTGCAGAGGCGATTTGCGAAGTGGTGGTAACTGGTTGCCGTCCGGTGGCAGGCTGCCCTGGGACACCAGCCTTCCAGGCGAAAACCCCCCAGAGTTTCCACCTGAATTTCCACCTGACAGCGCAACGCCTGAGCCTGGAATAACTCTCGGTCTGAGCCCTGGATCGGTCTGAGCATATCCCAGCGAGGGGTGCGAAGGGCCACTAGGAAGAACCCCTTCCGCTCCACTGGGGCCGAAGCTCACACCGATATCCTCCCATCCATACCCCTCCATCTGCCCCCCCTCCCCCTCCCCCTCCTTCTCCTCCTTCTCCTCCCCCAACTCCCCCCACTCCCCCCTTTCCCGCCCTCCACTGTAGCCCCCTTCCGCGCCTGTTGCCCCCCACCCTTCGCGTGCCCAGTTTCCCCCTGCGCCAGCTCTCGGCCCCGCGCTCTCCTCTTTCGGCCTCGCCCCGCTTCCGCGCCCCCCACTGGGCGGGCGCGCAGCTTGTTGCGCCACAGGGTACGCGGTGGGCGCGGGGCACGCGGAACCGAGCCCGCTTGCGCGGAGGAACGGGTGTTCCAGCAGTTGCGCGGCGGAGGGCCGTCGCGCGGGATCTCTCTCCAGGCATCTCCGCAGGAACCCGACAGCTTCCGCCGACAGATGCGCCGGAATAGCCGGCGTCGCGTTGGAATACCCAATCGCGTGCAGCAGCGCGTCAGGCGACGGCTCGCCGACGTACTCGCCGTCTAAGTTACCGGCCGGCGGCAGCTGGCCGGCCCAAGGCGGCAAGCCCGTCGCCATCTCGATCACCGTGCACGCGAGAGACCAGACGTCCGATGCGAACCCTTGATCTTCCTGCCGCACGACCTCCGGCGCCATCCAGCCGTAAGTTCCCGCCAGCCGCTGATTGCGCGCGATGCGCTGCCCCGCTTCCCCCGCGCGCATCGCCGCGCCCAGCCCACACAGCTTCGTCTCCCCTTCCGCCCCCGCTACAAGCACATTCGCCGCCTTCACGTCGCAGTGCACGATCCCCCGCGCGTGCAGATCCGCCAGCCCTTCCGCCACCCCGTGCGCGTATTTCCGCACCAGCGGCTCCGGAAGCCCTCCGCAACCCCCGCTTCCGCCCGCTCCCCCGCTTCCGCTGTCGCCGCAGCAGCCGAACGTGCCCATGATGTCAAGCACGCTCCCCGCAGAAACGTACTCCAGAAACAGATTCTTCACCGGAGCTCCGGACGTAGGGTCGGATTCCCATGCCGAGCCTAGCAGCCGAACCACGCGCGGACAGGTTCGGAGTTCCTCGAGGATCGCCTGCTCATTCTCCAGCAGGCGCATGGCCTTCGGGAGGCTATTAATCGCCACGGACTTAACTACTAAGACCTCGCCCGTGTCGGAGTTTAACGCGAGGCTGACCTTACCGCCGGTGGGGTTGCCGCCTAGGCCCGGCCCGCGAATCCAGCGGATCGCCGCGGCGGGAGGTGCGGGAGTGATGGGACCGGAGGAGGCGGCGTGTGAAGCGGCGTGTGACGCGGCGGCGGTCGCGGAGGGTAACTGCTGCATCTGCTGCCGCGAGAAGTCGTGTGGGTGGTGGGGTTGGGCGGAGAAGGATGGTTCTGATTGGTTGGCGTAGGATCCTCGGCTCCTTAAAGGCGATTCGAGCGAGCGTGGCGCGGACAGGTCGTGTCGCATGTGGTGCGGCGGGAGGGAGGAGCGCGCGGCTATGTCGGCCGCCATGGCGAGTCGGAACTCGCGATTAGTAGGAGGTCACCGGATCAGGAGAACACGCGAAGAGCGACCGATGGATAAAACGAGCGGAAGGTGGAAAGAGGTGGCTGGTCGACGAGAGGTTACGGTCGATGCTGTAAGTGACGGTTCAGGGATGGGGAATAGGGAGAAGGGTAGGGAGGCCTTATGATAGAACTGTACATGAAAGCTGGGAAACTAGGAAGGGCGACGAGGAACGAGCGCGTGAGGAGAAATGTCAGTGACGGTGAGAGGAGACAAAGCTGGCCAGTGGACTAGTGCGGATGTGAGTGATGAAATTCTGAAAGCACTGGTTCACTGATGAAAAGGTGTAGGATGAGCGGAAGGGTAGCACTTGCCAGAGGCTGGGATCACGGGTTTGGGAGAGACAGTATGGGGTGGATCAGGCTCAGGATATCAGCCAGCCATGGATGACAGTGCAGCTTTACCCCAGGTGGCCTGTGGGGCGGTGTTACCGCATGAACAGCAGCAACTTGTGGTTCAGTCGAGCACATCCATACCTACAGAACAAGATGCTACTGATGGGTTAGGTGGCCTTCGCTACGATAACGCAGGGCTGGGTGAGGTGAACTGTGCTTCATAGCTGCACGCCATAGATGGCTCAGCAGGTGTATATGTGGCAGGGACATAGTGCTTTGAACCAACGACTCAGATTGAAAGCGCGTTCGATCCAGCGGCAATGTGTCCCATGCGTCCAGTCAGCCTGACGCCACGCCATGGCAAACATTGATGGCGCAGGCCTGGCAGAAATTTTGCAAGGTGCCTGCCCGTGTTCGAGCTGGTCCAGACGCTGAATTTCGCTGACGCGAGACCATACAGCACTGTATATGTAGTTTCTCGTTCAATTTGAGTACCGTAATCAATGCCGTTCTGAACTCTGTCCCATGTGTGTGGAACAAATTTGATGCGTGAATTTTGTGAGGGGCAAATTGCAGCGAGCAAATGTGAAACTTTTCCAACTGATCCAGGTTGTCAACAGTTGGCACCCCAGCGCCATGCCCCCCCATTTCAGCAAACTCGAGAAAGTCTTCAACATTAGCATAATAGGCGCCACGAGACGATACATTTGAGAGCTCGCTCAATATACAATAAGCTTACAAACCACGGAAAACGAATTTCAAACATACGCCTCATTGAGCATTGAGAGGGGGTGACTAAAGTGACGCAATACTATTTTGAAACACTTGATACATCTTCTAAAGCCATCGACTGTTGTAGAAAAGTAGGGCCCAACGGGACTCTAGTCAGCCATTGGTTGGTACATGGTAGGCCTTCTAGCACCACTCCTCACTGAAAGTGCCACTTCTGCTGTCAATGTACAGCCCAGAAAGCCGGCTGGACCCGGTTTTACGCCCATGACTAGAATGCCCTTCATTGCTGTCCGCGCCATGCTTTTTAGAAAACCATTTGAGCAGTGAGGCCTTCCCATGCGAGTCGTGTTTCCCGCCACGCTTGTCCTCTCTTCTCGGAGACGACATCATCATGAAACCGCCACTCCCAAACCTGTCAAGAAGGCCAGGAGCTTCCGAATCGTGCGAGCTGGTGTCCAGATCCTCTTGCACGGAAATAGGAATGCTGCCACTGCTGCTGCCGTTGAAGGAGCTGCTGCTGGGAAACCTCCTGGAAGGCGAGAAAAACTTGGCCGCAAAGGCGGCGCCGGCACTATCCCCAGTCGGGGTCAGCGATATGGAACTAGAGGAGGAGCCTCCAGACGAGAGAGACTCGGTGAAAGATCCGTTGGGCGAGAGCGACTCGGAGTTCGGCGAAAGGCGCGTCGACGACTCGCTAACAAGCGGCAGCTGCTGCGCCAGTGGATGCGCTGGCGACACGTGGTTGGTCCAGTTGTCAGCGGCGATAATGGCGGCAATGGCGGCATTGGCGGCATTGGCGGGACCGTCGTCGAAGGAAAGGTGCGACTGCGAAGCCACTCTTCTGTGTCTGCTGCGGTAAGCGGCCGCATGGCTGTTGCCGTGACGCACGGTGGCTGGTGAAGCGAATCGATGCTGCGAGATGGCGTGATGCGCGGCGGCGTGACCGCCGGAGAGCGGCATTGCCGCTTCCGCCATGCCAAAAGCCGCCAGTCCAGCCGTTATTCCCGGCATAGCATCATACACGGCCCCTGGTTCAAGAGTGGTGGATCGCGGGATCGTGCCGCGACTCCGAGGCGCGTTTACATCGTCCACCCACGTGGCGTACGGCGATAGGTTGCCTGGAAGCGGCTCGTTGCCGCAGCTGTCGTCGTCGGGCGCGAAACGTTTCGCCATCTCGGCGACGAAATCGCCGGCGACGCCGGTGGTGTCGTCGACACACGCGCCAAACGCGCTGACGGCCTGCTCCACCGTGTGGAGCGCGCTCAACCGCCGGCTCGATCTGATTGCGTCTTTTTTAAACGGCCGGTTGCCGGCCACGGCACCGGGTTCTGGCTCGGCTTTCATAATCCCTGACTCGGAGCACGGGGAATCTTCAACGGACTGCTCTGCTGGTGCCGCTTTCTTAAAAATAATCTCTTTTTTTAAGTCGCTTTCGAAAATAATAGTCCCCGGAACCACGACGTGGTACGTGCGTCCCGGAAGGAGCATGGTTCGCAGCGGAAGAATGGCTTCGTCGGAGTCGAGGCTGCTGACGTGGCAGCCGGGGTACATTGCCATGACATCGCTGACGTGGACGGTGGCGTCTGGCTGGAGAATGTTGACGCTGTCGTCAGGCAGTAGCAGCAGTATGGAATCGTCCATATTGTGGGCCTTTGCGAAAATATGAGACGGAGGCGTCTTCGCAACTGAGACGGGAGAAAGGGACTGCGTGCTTGGAAATTATGGCGGTTCCACAACTTTATGAACGAGGAGGTACAAAAACCTGGGTCGGGTAAGAGAACCTCGAGTTATTTCCTGCCAAAGAGTGTCACGGCCAGGATGAGCTAGAAATGTTCCTCTGAACCCACCGACAGAGGGAGCCGCGAGGGAGTGTCGACGGAGAAAGCAAGATTCGTTCGCCCCAACGCTGGCCTTGACAAAGAGAAGTGGCTTTCCGCGTGGCATACGGCAACGGGGTGACGCTCAGCTCGCTCTGGCTGGACTGGACGGGCCTAAAGTGGCATGCTGCTCTCGCAAGGGCTTCTAGAATGCAGTTCTGCCTGTTCGGGACTGGGCCGGACTGCACTGCACTAGTTCAACAAGTGGCGAGAAAAATTCAATTTCGTTGGCGCAGCAACAAATTGTGCCACTTCGGCAGGTTTGATTTGAGGTCGTACTGTAGGTGGATTGGCCTATCGGCAAGCAGATAAAAAGGGTCTTCATTGTGGTGGCAGCAATTTTGGTTTGGCATTATGTTGCGGGCAGCATTTGAAGCTGCTAAGTCAGCATCTCTAGCCATTTACATGGTGCCACGCGGCCCGGTCAAGCTCGGCCATTGCTGCAAGGTCAGCCACTTTCGTGCCCGAACTTCCACTTGGAACGCATGGCCCCAGGCACGGAACCATGCCACATGTAAGACATGCCGCGGCAGTACTGTACTCGATAAAGCGTACATAGCGACGTTCCAACAGAAGCTTCACCTATGACATGTAGAAGATGATGGGATCAGGAAAAACAACGAAATTGGTGTAGTCCAGGGCTTCAGAAGTCCTAAAATGCTGTATAGCAGGGTGTTTTTAAAGGTTCGTCCTGTTTTTCAGCTTTTGATTTTCCCTTGGCCTGAATTTTAGGGGTTATCATATGAGCAGACCTGAATTTTAGTATGTTCTTGTTTTGGTCACCCTGAATTATCAGCCTTAATGGATTTTCAGCATGAAACAGAGTCTTTTCGGTACCACCACCCCCCCCCCCCCCCCCCCCCCCCCCCCTGACAATCACGGCTGGAATGGGGTGTGTTATGGAGCATGTGTGAGGGGCGTAATTGGTCCTTTACCAAAATCACATCCCTCGTCAAAGAGCACGTGAGAGGAGGCTGGTGATTGGTTCTCAGTCAAAATTACAAGCAGCTTCGTGGAGCAGAGGGTGTGCTGGAACAGCTGTTAGGAGCGGGATAGGTCTAGGGCGAAGTCAGGGGTTTACCAACCAATCGGGGGTCGTGTCGTGTTACTACTGAGCACCCGCTACCTGCCAGGCCGGCGACGATGCACCTGTATTTCGATCAAGCTGGCATGCACGCTGCCACACCGTATCGCGTGGTGCGACCACCACTCAACCCCTCCTCGTCCCAGCCGAGCATGCTCCTCCTGCTTCATCGCTTTCATGCGGTGCGAGCAAACGTAGCAAAAAGCTTGTAGCTTATTCAGTTTTTTCGCCCCACCTTCACTAGCTGCTCTGTGTCGTCTCTCTGCACCACCTGTTCGACCGTCTCTCACTCACCATCTCACGCCATGACCGACGATGAGGGATGGCAGATGCAAGGCTCAAAACGACGCAGCAGCAAGGAGGCCGCAGGGCAAGCCAGTGCCCTGCCTGTAACGCAGTCAGCGTTGGATGTTCTTGTGCGTCCTGCAAGGCAGGGCGTCGTGTGGAGTGTCGCTGATATCCGTATCGACCCTTTCCCTCCCCTGCCTAGAAGTCCTCAGCGTAGATATGCTGTTGCGTCTACTACGCCTCAGAGGCCCGCGATTAACACTGGCCGCGCGTCACCCATCGTGCGCAGTCCTGCACGAGAGTCTACGCGCTCTTCTCCTCGCATATACAGCCCGCCGGTGGTGGCTTCAGTCTCCTCTCCGTGCATTTGCATCCCCCCTGCCGAGGCTACGCGTGGGTCCACGCTTGTGCGCAGCCCTGCGCGTGGCGACGCTGGCTCGTCGCCGCTGCCCCGCTCTCCGGCTCACGACGCTCTGCGATTCTCCCCGATCCAACGCAGCCCGGGTGGTGATGCTGGCCGTGTGTCGCCCCACCCTCACAGCCCAGAAGGTGACGCAGGGCAGGCGGTCGGAGCGGCCGGTGATGGCGGTAGTGGAGCAGATCGCGGTCCGCCTAATTCTCCCCTGAAACGAACGTACCGTCAAGTGTTGCTGTCGTTTCGGCTTCCGACGACCGTCGACAAACATCCTGCCGTCATCACGTTCGCCACAGCTCGCGCCACCGTTCAATCACGGAGGCACAAGCCGTCGCATGCTCCACCGGTGGATGCGGCCTCTCCGGCAACGACGATACGGCATGCCGAGCAGTCGGCAGGCGGTGCTGCGTCAACTACGCCAACGAGTGCGACTCCAGTGGCTGGCCCTTCTACCGCTGCACCAGTGGAGTCGCCCATCCAGTCGTCAGCCACCGCTGATGAGGAATTTGGAGAGGCTGCTGACTTGTTGTATCTTCAAGCTCTGCAAAATTTCAAGTCAGACTGGCAGGAGCGGTTTCCTTGGTTGCTCCTGTGTCGTACTAAAAATGGCCTTCCATCCCTGCGATGTAGTGTGTGTACAGATCATGGCGTCATGGGCACCAAATATGGCCGACATGGGGAGGGCGCTGTTGACGTGCAGACACAGGCAATGAGGAGGCATGGCCGGTCAACACGGCACAAGGCATGCATCAAGGCGAAGAGGAAGGCCATGGAAGACGCTCAGAAGCAGAAGAAGACATCAGACTTCCCACAGGCCCAAGATCTCGAGAAGGGATGACTCATCGCGCTGCTGTGGGTCCTGCATTTCATCTGCTAGTGCGACGCACCGATCAACACTTGGGTGAAGCTCGTCCGCTTCCTAGCGAAGCGGAAGTGCCCCGGCTTTCCAAAAAAGAGCTGCGGAACCTACTACACCTTGTGAGTTTAGGAGGTCAATGTTTTGTCCCGCTCCTCTCTTATGCCTACGAATGCCGTGTCTCACGTGGTGAGCTCTACCCCATGCAGGTATGGCTTCGCGCAACTGATGCAGTCTCTGTCAAACTGGCTTCATGCTTCTCAACTACGCCACATTCACGCGAGTCCCTTCATTGGGCTGAGTTGCGACGAGTCGACTTACCGTACTCGAGGGAAACACTTGATTCTATTCGCAACATTTCTGCGTGATGGGCATGTTGTGACTGAGTTCAACGCCTTGCTAACACTGGAACAGTGCGATGCAGCATCTATTCATGCTCTCATTCAGGAACATCTAACCAAGATTGGCGTGCACCCCGACAAGATTGCCGGCATCAGCACGGATGGCGCTGCTATCATGATGGGCTCCAACACCGGCCTCGTCACTCGCATGCGTGCCATGTCACCGTGGCTGGTAACCTGCCACTGCATAGCTTACAGGTGAGCCATGCTGCATGTGTTTGCCTCTCACTTCCCGTTACCCGACCATGACTTCTGACGACTCTGGTGTCTGTACTCGTTGTGCGTCTCCAGCTACTGTTTGATCACAACGCTGATGCTTATGTTGTTTCTGCTGTGTACGCAGGGAGGCCCTCGCTGCGAAGGATGCTGCAACCGCCGTTCCAGAGCTAGCAGTGGTCGACAAGCTCATCTGGACCGTTGCTGAGTTGCTGGGTCGCTCTGGAAGCTGGCACGCGAGCTTCAAAAACCTCCAAGACGTCTTCACCCAGACGAACCTCGAGATGCAGGGTATTTTCAACATACGCTGGCTATCTCGAGGTGAGGCGATCGCCCGCCTTGTCGACGTGCTACCAGCTGTGGTCATTCTACTTCTTGAGTATGACCAGGAGATGTACAACATCGTAAAAAGCTACAAGGTTCACCTTTTCTTCTACTTCCTGGCTGACATGCTTGGCTTACCGAACAGCCTCAATAGAAAATTCCAAGCCCTCTAGGTTGGTTCCATGCATGGTCCTATTCTGTTTGTCTAATCGTGTGTCTCCTTGAGCTAGCTGCCCAAGCCCTCTCCTACCACAGGTCGAGTTGACGGTCGTCCAGGGCCTTATTCGGAGGACCGTCGTCTACATAAAGCAGCGGTACGTTGAGTGCGGTAGCAACTTTGGGGGCGGCAACTCTCCGCTCCTCACTGCATTCATCGAAGCGCACCGCAGCAGCCGCACCGTCACCATTGAGGGATGCAAGTCAGACGGCACATCAATCGTGCACAAGTTTGACATCCACGACGAGCGCCCTGGTGAGGACCACGACAAGTGCAGCAGCATGTGCATGAGAGTCGCCAAGGCGACCGAGCAAAACATTGTTGAGCGGCTGGGCGACCTGGAGAAGCTCAACGGGTGCAGGCTCTTCACCTCGGAAGCATGGCCACCAGGGAGGAAGGAGCGGAACAGCCAGTGCATGGACTGGCTGCAGAGCTTGTTCGACCTCTTCCGCGCATCCGGGCGTCAGGAGGTTCTGCCAGGTAAGCTGTTGCTAACCGTGCATGAACCTAGCTGTAACCATGCATCTTGCCTGCTTGTCATCCTTATCCCCATACTAACGGCCTGCATCTATACCACTCATTCTCCTCCCCTTGCGCCCTCCGATTTTGTGCAGGTGTTAACAAGAGGGCGGCAACCAGGGAGCTGCAGACTCTGATCTCCCTACTAAAAGACGCTCCCGTGGGGGAGCGGAAGTTCTACAAGGGGCTGGCGGCGATGCTGAAGTCGGATGACTGGACAAAGGCCTTCCCGATGGGCCGACTGTGGGTCGCGGTCGCAGTGCTGCCACTGTCTACGGTGGAGTGTGAGCGCGGCTTCAGTCGGCAGAAAATCATCAAGAGCTGGTGCCGAGGCAGCCTAGGAAACGCCACGCTCGAAAACCTCATGAGCATGGCGTTGCTCGACTACGAGCCTGATTGGGAGGAGGTGGTGAAGGTGTTTCGAGGGAAGAAGCGGAAGCAGTTCTCCACCCGCATCCACCCCCGAGGTCGGGTGAAGAGCTTGAAGGGGAAAGAAAAGGTGGTGGAGGGGCCAGGGGAGGATTTGGATGAGGAGCCAGAGGAGGAGGTGGAAGAGGAGCTGGAGGAGGGGTACGAGGAGGGGAGAGGAGGGGGGTTTGGTGGAGGAGAGGTCGATGAGGATTTCTGGTATGCAGCTGAGGGTGAGGAGTGCAGCAGCGGCGGAAGTGAGTTAGACGAAGACGAGGAGTAGCAGGTGAACCACCAGCAGCAGCAGCGGCAGCAGCAACGGCAGCACACGGAGCAGTTGGGTCCAGCAGGAAGAGCAGTAAGAGTTCTAGCAGCAAGAGTGGCAGCATCAGTAGTAGCATGCAGCAGTAAGGCAGCAGCTGCAGCAGCACCATAGGCTGTGCTTTTCTGAAATTGTTATACTACCAAGTGTATACCATGAAAACATTCAAACAAACAAGTCAATGTTCACTCTAACATTGTGCTAGGTCAAAACCAAACCCACCAAAAAAAAAATTCAGAAGTTCAACACTAACATGTCAGGCTTATAATTTTTTAGTCCTGAACTTTTAGCCTTCGATTTTTTTTACCCTGACAGAATATGCAACTTCCAAAACCAGACCCTGAAAAATGGGGGTTCCTTCTGGGGGCACCCTGAGCCAACAGCCCCTCAAAATCCAATCTGAAGCCCTGGTGTAGTCATGCTCCTATCAAGTATACTTCAACAAGAAAGAGGGGGGGAGGGAAGGGGATGTGAAGAGGAGAGGGGGGGGGGGAGAGACAGAGTTGAGGGGCAGGTGGTAGAGGAGTGGAGGAATAGGGAGTGTTACGATAAGGAAATTGTGACATTCCTGGAAGCGACACTCGAGCCGTAACCCTTGTCGAGTTCAAGCCTATGACGCGAGGTACGAAGTGCAACCGTCGTTGCGCTGTATTACCCGATTCAGATCTGGAAACCTCATAGGGAATGGTTCGGTGCTCTGTTCGGGCCAAAGCTAGGACAGGTGTCGGTGCCGTGTGGGGTTGGGGTACGCGTTAGCGGTGTGGCGCGCTAAGGAATATGAAATTCCTTACTCTACCCCCTCTCTAGCGAAGGTGGTCTATATTTGCGATGTGCTTGAGAGATAAATAATCCCAGAGTACAGTAGGTGAGTGTACTTATATCGAGAGAACCCACGTGTCGTCCTCGCTGGTACGATGAGTCCATCGTATAAGAAAGTCAACGTGTCGTAGCGGGCAATAATCAAATTATATATTTCATATATATAGTTGTGTAGGCTTGGTAGGTGTTCTACATTTCTAGATCTTACTGTAGAGGGTCCAACATACTTCTTGTACCTCTCTCTCTTCTAGTTCATCTCCTTTTTCTCTCGTCATTTTCTCTCTAGCTAAAACCTCTCGACATTCCTAATGCCTAGCTACCTAGTTAGCTCCTTCTAACATGGTTTCGGAGCAGGAAGATCCTGCTGCGCCTTGTCATTACGCTTCCGCAGCGTACTCTTTCCCTTCCCATCACATTCGCGCTGCCACAACGGCCTCGCGGCGCTGCCGCGGCGACCTCATCGAGCAACCGTGGCGGCCTCGCCACGCTGCCGCGGCGACCTCGTCGATTTCGCGCCGCCGGGGCGGCCACGTCGTGCTGCCATGGCGGCCCCGTTGCGCTGCCGTGGTGGCAGCTTCGCCGCGCCAGCACACGGACAGCTGCGGCCAGCGCCCTATCTTAGGCGCCAGCCATGACGCTCGCGCGCCAGCCAGTGCGCCAGCCACGAGCGCCTTGCTGAAGCACGCCCCTCCCCTGCGTCTGCCCTTATTCCAGTCGCAGCTGATGACTCCATACCCGGCCGTGCCACGCCGCCGGGTGCCGCGAGCTTCGCAGTCGCCACTGCCGTCGTCGAAGCTGCCGCCGCCACGGCCGCCGCCGCTGTCGTCGTCGTAGAAGTCGCCGCTGACGCCGTTGCTGCCACCCGCTGCCGTTGTCGCTGCTTCGCACGAGGGGTAGAAGCCACACCTGCTGCAGGGCATGGGGGTCCACGGGCCTGGGGGTGTTGCGTGTGGGGTGGGCTTGCGACTACCAAGCCTAGGGGGTGTGTCAAATTATATATATATATATTATATATATATTTTTGTGTAGGCTTGGTAGGTGTTCTACATTTATGTAGGCTTGGTCGTGGCTGAGGGTGCATTGTTGTAGGAAAACTCGAGAAAGGGTAGCGAATCTTCCCATTTGCTGATATCTGGGCAATTCGTGTTAATCAGCTGTTCCATGGTCTGATCTGGCTCGACAAGCTGTAATAGTCCTACTGACTGCTGGCGTGATGATTTCATTGTCCGGCAAGTCGGACACGCACCCGCGTATTTTTGCACGTCCGAAAACATGTCGGGCTAGTAATAAAACCGTTGAAGTGCCTTCAGAGTATTGTACACCCCGAAATGTCATGATAAGTTTGAATTGTTGACTTCTTTAATAAGTAATTCGCCAAGTAGACGATAACTTGGAACCCAAATTCGTTCCGTTCCCGCTTTTACGTAATAGGCTCGCTACGTAGTCGTGACCTGCTGGTGGTCGTTGTTTACGAAAAAGGGATCGGTCGAATATCCATGGGTAAATAGTCCACTTAGCAACGGGTTTCTCTAGGCGATTAGTACAGCGGCGGTTTGGGCAGATGGTTTGGAGAGGGCGTCAGCAATGTTGTTGGCACCCTTCTTATACTGTACGTGATTTGATACGTGAAGTTTGACTCCATATAATCCAACCAGCAAATCTGCCACGGGTTGAGGTTCGGCTGTGCTCGCATGTACTGTAGGGATTTGTGATCTATTCGTACAGTCCCGTCGGCTCCTGTTAGGTAGCATCGCCAGATATTGAATGCGTGCACGATCGCCAACATTTCTTTGTCGTGTACGGGATAATTTTGCTCGGTTGAGTGCAACTTTCACGACTCGTACGCGATTGGCTGAAGGCCACCGCCAAAATACTGTAGCAGAACTGCTCCGATTGCGATGTCACTTGCGTCGGTCACGACCTCGAATGGTCGTTCTGGGTCAGCAATCTGAAGTACCAGTGGCGAGATTAAAAATGGTTTCTAGTCCGTCAAACGCAGCTTGCTGCTTCTTTCCCCACTGATAATCAGCACCCTTATGAAGTAGGTCAGTTAGTGCTCTAGTTAACCCCACCATGTTGGGGATAAACCGGCGCACATAATTTGTGAACCCCAAAAACGATTGCAGCTCCTGGAGGTTGGTCGGCGGCTTCCACTCCTGCATTGCCCGAATTTTGCGGGGGTCAATTTTCACGTCTTCCGTCGAAATAACGTGCCAAAAAACTCTAATTCGCGTTTTTAAAACTCGCACTTAGAGCCTTTGGTGATGAGACGATTCTGCTGCAGGTGCTAAAAAACCGCTTCCAGGTCCTTTAATTGTTGCTCCCGTGTCGTGCTATAGATCAGGATGTCATACAGATAAATGATTACACAATTATCGAGTAGATCCCAAAATACCCATTCATCGTCAGCTGGAATGCCGAGGGGACATTTGTTAACCCGAACGGCATGACAGTGTATTCGTAACTCCCGTAGCGAGTACGAAACGCGGTCTTGTGGCAGTCTTCGGCGAAGACTCGAATCTGGAGGTAACCGCCGCGAAGGTCGATCTTCGAGAAGTAGCGAGCACCTCGCAGCTGGTAAATCAACTCGTCCGTGTGCGGGATTGAGTAGCGAGACTTTATCGTAACCCGATTTAGGGCGCGATTATCAATGCACATTTGGATGCCCCCATCTTTCTTGGGTGTGAACATGATCGGGGCAGCGAATGGGGACGTGCTCGGTCGAACGAACCCTTTGGCCAGAAAGTAGTCCAGCTGGTCCCGCAATTCGTGGAGCTCGGGCTGCGTCAGCCGCCACTGTGTCCGGTCAGTTGGCAGCGCGTCGGGTTCGAGTTCGATCCGATGGTCCTGAGGGCGTTCTGGTGGTAGACCAGGTGGCTGGTCATCCGGGAAAACATATGGGAAATGACAAATTAGTTTTGCCAGATCTTCAGGGACCGCTGCGCAGAGCTTACCGATGTCGGCCGGTTGATTGTCGTCCATTGATTCCTTTAGATGGACGGCGTACAATTCCGCGTCTTTCTTGACCACGCGTGTCAGCATGACGGCATTGTCGTGTGTCGTTATCGACTCTGCTCCTCACCATTTTGGCAGTATCTGCCAACCATTCGCACACTTGACTGTGCACTCGCCTGTTGTCCAATCAATTTGCAGGTTGTGTCGTCGAAGCCAATCTCGTCCGAGCAACACATTGTAGCTATCGAGTGTCGTCGCCAGCATCGGCGTGCTGAAACCGAAATTGTCACCACACTTCATGCGAATTGTTCGCACGTGATCGCGTATCGCCAGTGGCGTGCCGTCGACCAATCGGGCAACGATCTCGGGCAGACGCCGCTCCAGAGGTAAATTCATTTCTTTTGCCATCGGTCGGTGAATCTGGTTGTGGCTCGCACCACCATCGATGAAGATTTTAACTCTTTTGTCGTGAACCCTACCTTCTACCAGCACAGGGTAATCCACAGGTTCATCCTCGTTATTCGTCTGAGAGTAGTCGATAGCATGTATCGGTACCACTACTCGGTGGAGATTCTGTTTCTCGGGCGATGCAGCCGTGTTAGTAGGGGGCCATATCAACATATTGATGTATATTGTTATAGGCTAGATGGGTGCATGCCATAGCGAGTACAACACCTAGCACAAAACTATCCTTTACCACCCTTCCTAGTTCAATTCGTTATTTTGAGATGGTTTCACGCTAGGTTAGGTCCCCCCTCCTCGCTTACGCTTCCGCCGCCGCAGCAGCAGTATTGACGCCTCTCTTGTTACTTATCCTTCTGTTCCTATCTCCAATATTGACGCGCTTCTCGCTGCCATCACTGAATTTACCGCTACCTGCCGCCTTGACTACACCACCGCTCTGGTCTCTGGCCCTGCCCGTCCTCCATCCGTCGGGGGTGCTCCTGACCTTGGCAGTGACGTCCTGGAGGACCGGAAGTACGAGCTTGCTTTCCTGTCCGAGGCCGCTCCCCATCTCTGCTCCATGCTGCTAGTCCCTGAGGGTGACCCAGACACCTTTGACATCCCGACCCCTCGCACTTATGTTGAGGCGACCTCGTGACTCTGGGCCTCTCAGTGGATAGCTGCCTAGACATGGAAATGGCATCTTGGAGATCCACTGGCACCTACGCCGACGCATTTCCCCCACCAGGGGTGAACGTAGTCGATGGCCAATGGCTCTTCAAGATGAACCACCCTCCTAAAGAGCCGCTGGTGTTCAAGGCGCGCTACGTTGTGAGAGGCTTTAGTGAGCGCGAGGGTGTTTACTTCTTCTAGACCTTCGCCCCGACCCAGAAGATGACTATTCTTTGGGCACTGTTATACGTAGCAGCATAGCGTGACTATGAGCTGCACACTCTTGACTTCTTGACCGCGTTTCTTCAGGGAATTTTGCACGAGCAGGTCTATCTGCGTCGCCCGCCAGGCTTCACCGGCACCTTCGCCCCAGAGACCGAGTGGCTCCTCCGGTGCCCGGTTTACGGCCTGTGGCAGGCGCGGTGCGAGTGGCACGACACGCTTCGTGCTACGTTAGCTGACCTGCAGTTCTTTCTATCCTCCGCAGACCCTTCGCTCTTCGTTCGTTCAGGCCAGACCCCATTCTACATCTTTATCTACGTAGACAACCTAGTCTTTGCTACTGCAGAGAGAGACGCACTGGCCTCCATGAAGGCTGAGCGGGTGAGGAGACACACCTGCACTGATCTGGGAGAGCTGTGCCTCTATCTTGGCCTGCAGATCTCTAGGGACAGAGTAGTGCGCACCATCACTCTCACACGGTCACACTTGGTGCGCTTGGTTCTTCAAAGGTTCGGTCTTCAGTTCTCCTCCGCACAGCCCACACCTCTGCCAGTAGATCACAGGCTCTCGGCTTCAGTCCCTTGAGATCATCGACGACACTGTGTACAGCTTGGTCTAGTTCCTCTAGCTTCTCACCTACTAAGACCTTGATTGTGTATTATATCTTATATTTCCCTGACTGGCCTTATGGCTTCTGCTCCAGTGGCCAGACTAGTAGTGCCGCCCTAGTTTGCTCTTATCTAGTTTGTACTCTTCTGACTGGTCTTCGGACCCTTGCCTCAGAGGTTGGACTAGTAGTGCCACCCTGAGCTGCGTGTCTCTTGCCAGGCACTTCCCCTTTTCTAGCCCAGGGGGTGTGTCAATATATTGATGTATATTGTTATAGGCTAGATAGGTGCATGCCAAAGTGAGTACAACACCTAGCACAAAACTACCAAGTACCACCCTTCCTAGTTAAATTTGTTACTCTGAGAAGCCCGTTTGCTACTGACGGGAGTCATTTTCTGGCTTATCCCCATCGTTGTTTTTCCTCTGCTTTTGGTCAGGGCAGCCAGCATATCGGTGACCCGGCTGGTGGCAGTGAAAGCACTGTCGCTTCCTGGGATCTTCGTCGTTCGCCACAATGCCGTTGGTCGAGGGCCGCTGATCCTGGCCACGAAAACGATTTCGCTCACGCGAACCCGATCTCGCGTATTTTTGGTTGGCGTCGTACATGTCAACGATCACCACTGCTTCTTGGAAGGTCGTTAGGCGTCGCATCCTCACTTCATAGCGAACGTCAGATTTGAGCCCCACGATGAACCGGCTCTTTTTCTCGGCTTCTGATAGGCCGGTGATTTGGTCGCACAGTGCCTGAAATGATGACGCGTAATCATGGACAGAGGTCAACTAGCGCCTGGTGTCCAGCTTCGTGCGTGCGTTGTTCGAGGCGGATATGGGCTCGAATAGTTCACGCAGAGCTGTAACCCACGCTTTCAATGTGCAAATTGCGGTCGCTCCGAAAATTGACGTTGCGGCTCGGGCAGCAGATTCTGGACTCCCAAAAAACCCCTGAGTGTTCCCTGCCAAAGTCCCCGTCTCACTTAGCGTCGATCGCCACCAATTCAGTGTAGGTCCCCTTAGTAGTTAAACAACCAGTTTGATTATTTAATCATCAACAGTAATCTCGACAGCATCAAAATAAAGCTCCATCGCAAAAAGCCAGCTCGTCATGGTGGCATTTTTGTCCATGGGGTTAAAAGGGGGCGAAATTGACGGCTTTATCATGGCCATTGATACATTTGGTGTGGCTGCGGCTACTGCAGAAACTGTTGCGACTGCTTCGGAGCGGGTGGCGGCCGTTGTCGCAGTTGCTGCAGTTGACGCAGCACGTGCGGCGGCATTCGTTGCTGCTTCGACTTTATCATCACGGCGCTCCTACGACACTTCGCGTGCAATTTCATCCAATACAGTTTCGACACTTCCAGTGCTGGCATCATCCTCGGGGGCGGGCGAATTCTGGCGCGTAGTCTCTTGCACCTGGCGAAGTTTGGTAACTTTGGCGTGAAGTTTCTAATTGTCGTTTAACATGGCTTGCAGGCGAGCTTGCGTGGCGGCAAATTTCGCCAATAGCTCGTCAAACTGTGCCTGGTCCATGTGGCGGACACTACGTCGGGTGGGCATGGGAATATCCGTGATTACCCATGCTTAGGTAAGGGTGCAAAGGCTATCATAGTCAGGCGAATTAATTCGTATAATTCTCGGCCGACCGCTTTGCAACTCAGTGACCGAATCACTCTCCCCCCCCGAAAAGAAGTTGTTTCGCCTACGGAAGCGGGTAGGTTAAGACAGTAGCTATGAATACCAGATGTTATGAGTGTTTCACAAGAGTAGCGTGGAATCAAGTGTTGATGTTTAGAATAACAAAATGTGGTACAATGGAATGATGAAGCAAGGTACAGGAACACCAGAGCAATCTTAGCCGTGTGATCGAACTGGGTCGAAGAAGGCATCCGAGGACGCGGAGCGCTTCGGAGTGACGCGAAAATGGTTCGGTGCTGTGTTTGGGCCGAAACTGGGGCAGGTGTCCGTGCCGTGTGGGGTTGGGGTACGCATTAGCAGTGTGGCATGCTAAGGAATGGAGAATTCCTTTACAGTGACACTCAAGCCGTAACCCTTGTCAAGTTCAAGCCTATGACGCAAGGTACGAAGTGCAACTGTCGTTGACCGCTGATCGACAATTGAACCGACAGAAAATCAAGAGTATGTCACAACAAAATGAACACATAACTGACCGTGTAATACAGCGCATGCATTTACTGGAGTCTTGTGTAGTTACCCGAGTCAGATCTGGAAACCTCATTAGAATGTACCCCTGTTAAGTTCATCCTAGTTAGACCCTTCGCATTCTCTTGTATCACTATATCAACCCAGTATCTTCTTACTATAATCAACACTGTTATGTTATATTCACTCTGACAGGGTTCATTAACCAATCAATCGCTTTCGCAATGCGCACTACTACAGTTCAATCCTGAACATCCTACGGACCATATTGGATCGCTTTATGGTAACCAGAGCCTATCAGGATTCTACGCAAGAGGCTCTTAATCGATTTCAAATTCAAATATCGTGGCGTCAGTAACTCGCTCCGGCCACAGTGTGGCCCCAGGCTCGGGATCATGAGGGCAAGGAAGCCCTCCTCCCGAAGCACCTGCAAGCACTCTGAATCCGGCGACAACCACTTCCGTCCCCACAAAACTCCTCGAAAAATTCCTCCAATGAATGTCAACTCTTGAAGAGGGACTCTTGTTGGTCTCTTAGCATCGACAACTCGAGCATCGCTCTCCAAACCACTAAAATGCAACCAACCCCTACAGACAAGGACTCCACTCTTGGCTTCTTAAAATTCGACACTAGCAACACACACCCACCTGCAAGCATACGATTAAGCGACGAAGCCTTGCAAACAGCACAATCGAAGTTCTTGGCTGTTTCTAAGATCAGAACAAGCTCTATCTTCGACGGTCACGATCTCTACACTTGGAGATTCGAGTTGGAGCTACTATTGCAGAGCGCTAAAATCTTCTTCTATTTCGACGAATGTTACCCCAGATTAATGATCTACACTGAAGACGCGAAACTACGATATTACGATAACCGCTCATGGCGTACAGCTCTGCGAAACATATCCGCTTCTGAGCAGCTTTGAATTTGATATTTTAAAACCCGCGCCGCTCTGGCACGAGACTCTTGGCTATACGTGACGTACCCCTATCAGCCGAAGGACTCCGTGTCGTCGAGTCGACTGCTCGGCCAGTAGCTAGAAGTGAAGATGATCTCAGGGGAAAAGACCAACACTTACATAAGTCGCTGCCGAAGCATCCGCAACCAGATCATCAAGCTTAAGAACACCATCACTGAAGATATGTCCGTGACAATCGTGCTCGTTGGACTTACCCCCAAATGACGACCGTGCAAGGCACTACTCCGCGAGCAGGGCGAAATATCCAAAGCGGCCCTTTACGCAACACTGCTGGCTGAGCAGCAAGATATGGACCTCTACAAGGAAAGAGCTCTGTGCAAAGAGAGCCTTGCCTTCTACTCGGGTCAAAAGGAGCCACGCCGCAATATGCGCAATCGCCGCTACTTTTGCAAGCACTGCAAAACCTTCAGACACTCTACTGAGCACTGCCAAAATCGAGCAGGAAGCAGCGCAAGACCATCCTACACACCTAACCCAAATGGAAGTCAATGGAGTCATACCCAACAGAGGAGACCCATCGACTCTTCCCCCCAGGATCCGCGCCAGACCAGTCACCCATTCCAGCGACCAGTCCCGCGCCCTCCTGCATCCTCGGGCCGTCGTTCGACTCAGCCAGACACACATGGTCAACCTGTCCATCGCCAAGTCTTCATGCGATGAGAGCTCGGGGTCCCACACGTCGAGTGAATCGACGTTGCCACGCGTCACAGCCGCGCCAAGTCAGGGAGACTTTGAACCAGCGATATCAGCCCAGGACTACAACAACCCCTACAACAAGCACAGTAGTTATGAGATCGATGAAGAAGAACTGGAACTAAACATGCCCATTCCCCTACTGCAACCGATACCCTACATCACTGACACGAAATCCGGAGGCGACGGACAAGGCTGGGATGACTTTCCATAATACCATCTCATGCACAAGTCGAACAAGCCCTACCAGCTAACCCCGAGGACCGCAATGATCGCTCGGAACAACCACGACAACTACAACACCTAGTACCTGGACAGTTGCTACGGTAGCACATGGCCGGCTTTAAACGCTTCATCCCCAATGCCGTTCCCACCTCTGTCGTAGCCTACATAACCATCGCCAAGAACGAACGGCTTGTGGCAAGGCATCAGGGAATAGTCGTCCTATAGGCGCACAACGCTTTGACGCACATCACCCTGAATGACGTGCTCATCATTGAGAACCTGTGCTACAACCTACTCTCAATGGTGCAATTGATGTCGTGTGGTATTAGCATCAGCACTGAATCCCAAATACGGGACCTCCTGCTACACTACCGCAAGCCACATCAGCCCAATGAAGAGCCAAACCTGCTATAGTACATCAACAGGGCAACAGTAATCGACGGAGTTTACATCCTAGACTTCGACATCACCAACTGCAACGGCAATAGCCATGAGCTGATCAACCTTGTTCCCCTCAACTTTGCCTACCAAGCGGAGGAGTGGAAACATCCCGATGGCCGCCCGTGGGTCACCCACCACATGCACCTATCTACGACAGATCTGCATGACCCGGGACCAGACGGCATCTGCCATACCTGTTGCACCCCGATAGCCTCCTCCACCAGCATTGCTAGAACGGGACTCAAAACTCTCGAGGAAGATGAGATGGAGCCCCTTCTCACTCCAAAGGATGGCATGACAACCTCAGAACTTGCTGCAGCTATCACCATTGTTCCTCCCAGAGGAACCTCAGACCCTCTGGACAACTCAAGGGAACGCTTAGAACGCGTCCTTGCCTACGTGGGACCCGTTGCTTTGATGAAACAAGACGATCAAACCCATGGGCTTTACACACTCACATGGCGTTCAACCCCAATTGGAAAGAACCCATGCCACGAAAAGCAACAGACTTGGCAACAAAACTTGCATCCGAGATGGATGCATGGGCGAGCTCTCTCTGAACCATCGCCGCTCGACATGGACCGGCGTCACCAAAAGCAGCAGAGGCAGCACTAGCAACTATGATCGCAGCCTTAGCAGCACGGGAAGCAGCAGCGGGAGTAGCCAGAGCAGAGGCAGCAGCAGCAGCGGTAGAAGCAGCAGCGGTAGTAGCAGGAGAGGCAGCAGTAGTGACATGAGCAGCAGGAGCAGCAGCAGACAAAGAAGCAGAGGGAGTAGCAGAGGCAACAACGACAGCAGGACCAAAACCCCCACGCCCCAAACCTACAGTCGCGAACGGTGCACCACCTTTCCGAGCACCAAGCAGCTGGGGTCCATCTGGGGATGAGTATCAGTGGAAGACACCGAGTGGGACACCACCAACCCTCCCCAACATCCCTGGCCTAACGCACCAACAGCTGAAGAATGGGGCAGAGGCCTGAGACTACCATGGTTCCGCAATCTTGCTACTAGACGTTGGCGTCTGAACCACGAGGAATGGTATGGCGGAGGATACGATGAGGATGATGAATGCGAAAGGGGGAGAATTGCACCAAACGCATAACTTCACCTTGGTCGCCCTCCTCAAGCCCTTGGAACTTGGGCCGAGTACGATGATATCCCTGATGGGGAAAACAATCTACTAGAGAGGCCACCACGTATCTCCACCGCTCGAACCTTACAGCCCTCTCCCATTATCACCGATTCCTATTGGACCCAATGCTGAACCTGACACCCAAGAGACCAAAACCACCGAAGAAGCACCACCATGCCAAGAAACCAGAATCATCGACGGTCCACCACCGCCTCGCCTCCCTCGCCCGCACACAAACCCCAAGGAGCTAGATGAGAGTGCATCTAGACCAGACGCCTCTCCTCGAGGTCGAGAGGTCAGATCGGACCTCATAGACCGCAAGTTTCTCACTCTCGCCATCACAGCCTCTGTGTTTGCACGCACACCTCCAGCTCCTCCTCCTGACGATTCCCGCCAGCGCTATCAGCGCACTTGATGACATCTCGCCTCCAGGGACATCTGGCACTAGCGGCTTGGCCACCCCTCCAGAGTCTCTCTCAACAACTCGATCAGGGCTAACGTCTTCACCCCTAGCTCTGACAGGCATGATCTCCAAGAAAGCCAAGCCCCACGTATCTGCACAGTCTGCATCACACCACATGACAAAATCTACAGCGACTACCTCGTCCTCACACAAGTAGGACTCTACGCGGAGCAGCACACCCTCACCTTCATCGTAACTGCCACCTGCTATGTGTGGGCAATCAAAGTCTAGAATAGAGGGGGAGTACTCAACATCTTCCGACCTTGGCTCGCTCTTGCTGAACACCAATCTGGAAAGAAACTGAAGTACTGACAGACGGATGAAGCTCGGACATTCCATAGTGAGGAGCTACAGACACACCTCCAAGAACTTGGGATCGAGCACAGGCTCTCCCTTCCCTATGCTCACCCACAGCAGGTTGTCGCTGAGCAGACCAACAGCACCCTACAGACCAAAGTACGGGCCATGATGCTGCAATCTGGTCTGCCCACCGACTACTGACCCTTCGCCATGCACCACACAGTCCAACTATACAACATACTGTCCACCATTACCAACGACAGGAACCTTTACCCCTACATGGCCTGGATAGGAAGACTAGCTGAAACCAGCATGCTGCGGGCCTGGGGCTGCATGGTCCAATACTGCCCTCACCAGGCTCGCTGGGGGGGTACACCCGGGCATCTCTTAAGAGTACCTAGTCTCGGCGACTATCGCCTCCGGCGCAGAGAAAAGTATTAGGAAATACTCTTGCAAATAGCCTCAAGGGCCTTGCCTCCAAAAGTGATCTCAAAGTAGTTGCTAATTGTCAATACGAAATGACAACAATTTCCACTAGAAACAATGAGATACAAAGCACAAATTTTCACACAGATTTATTGTGGAAGTACAAGCCATCTTGTTATGAATTAATCAGAGTAATAACAAGTAGTGTAATAAAGGAGTCGTGATTCAAGAGTGTCAATACAAATGAGGGCCTAGGCATTTATAGACACGAACAGAGCTAGCCGAGAACCACGCGAACAGGTTGGGGTGATTCGGTTGGCGAAAGCCACGGAAGCGCTGCGCGTCGAGGTTTGGGTTCGCGAAGTGGTTCGGGACCGAAGAAGTTGGCCGAGTCTGGACTTCCGAGAGTCGATGGCGTACGTGCTGTAGTCGAGCCCAGTAAGGAAAAGGGAATTTCCTTACACCACCCCCCTTTTCGGGATAAGACTACCCACATCCGGGACACGTCGGTGTAAATAGTCCCGGACAACTTTGTGTTCGCCGAGAATAGCTGCGGGGACCCAAAGGTCATCGTCAGTCATGCGATCAACCCATCGTACAAGGAAATCAACAGCTGCCATATCTCGATGGCCTCATACGCGATGAGCGAGGATCTTCGATGGCTCGATCGTCGGCTCAGGTACTGGGTTGACCGTAGGATTGATGTGTTGACGGTCGAGATTGGTCACACTCGGGATGAATGGTCGCAGGAGGCTGACGTGGAATGAATCATGAATTCGCCAGTCGTTTGGTAGTTGCAGCTGGGCGGTGACGGGTGTCACCATGCGGATGATGTGGAATGGGCTACAAAATATTGGTCGTAGTTTATTTGGGAGGGGAATCCCCAATTTTTTGGTGTCGAGCAGGACCAATTGCCCAGGGGCGAGTGTTAAGTCATGGCGTCGTCGGTCAGCTTGCTGCTTAGCCCTTTGGTTGGCTTTGAGGATGGCATCGGCGGCTTTTTGCTGGGACTGTCGAAGATTTTCGACGAACTGCTGCGATCTCGGTGCCGGATTTTCTATCGGTGGCGATAGAGGGGTTGTCGGGTCTATCTCGTAATTGAGGAAGAGTGGGCACTAAGTAGCCATGGCTGATGGTGCGTTGTTGTACGCAAACTCGATCAAGGGAAGGGAGTCTTCCCATTGGGCCGGGTCTGTGCACGTTGTGCGAATCAGCTGCTCTATCCTCTGATTGGTGCACTCAGTCTGGCCGTCCGATTGCGGGTGGGATGCTGTGGACAGTTGCAGACGTGTGCCGTACTGCTGCCAGGTTTTTGTCCAGAGATTGGACGTGAACTGAGGGTTGCGATCGCTGATGATTGCCGAAGGAATGCCGTATAGCCGCATGATGTTCGTGAGGAACAGTTTTGCTGTCTGCTCGGCAGTGATTGTCGTCTTGCAGGCGGCGAAGTAGGCCATCTTGGTCAATCGGTCAACAGCGACGAGAATCGCGTCGTTACCGCTTGAACCGGTTGGCAGGCCAGTGACGAAATCCATTGTCACTTGTTGCCAGGGCCGGCTGGGTGGCTCGAGCGGCTGAAGTAATCCCGAAGGTCGAAGTCGTGAAGATTTCATGCGTTGACACGTGGCGTAGGAGGTGACGTACTGCTGCACGTCTGTCGGCAAATTGGGCCAGTAATAATTACGGCTCAGTAATTTGGCAGTTTTGCCGATGCCGTAGTGACCCGAGAAATTCGAGTTCTGTGCCTCCTGTATCAGTAGCTCGCGTAGCATACGGTAGGCGGGAACCCAAATCCGATTGGTACCGGATTTTAGGTAATAGGCCCCTTGCTTGACTGTCAGATGGGGATGACTGTTAGTGGTGAAGAAAGGAATGGCACTGTATCCGTGGGTGAATAGACCAGTTACACTGGCGAAAAGTATTGTCCACATGTTTGTGACTTAGAGGAATTTTGCCATTTTAGGGAGTCATGGACATTAAGCCTTAATCTTCTGGTGTGCCTAGTGTATGTAGGTTGGGGTAAGGCTCTACGCCCATGCCTTACATCTCACAAGTATAATGATGTTTACAACAAATAACAGAAAATAACAGTCTTGGTACATGTGGACAATTATTGCCAGGCGCAAGCAGAAAAGTTACATCAACCACAAACTAGTACCTAGTCCACCGCCCTTTCGCCTTAATCACCGCCCTCACCCTCCTGGGCATGCTTTCCACCAGGTGGGTGCACACATCCGCCGGGATCTTCTCCCATTCCTCCTGCACACGCTCCCAAAGGTCCAGCATACCAGTGGGAGGCTTCTCGTGCTTGGCCAGCTGCCTCTTGAGATGAGCCCATAAATGCTCTATTGGGTTGAGGTCGGGTGAGGAAGACGGCCACTCTAGCACTCCAAAATCTTGCTCTCTAAGCCACTCCTGCATGATACGCGACTTGTGCTTCGGGTCGTTGTCATGCTGGAAGATGGTTTCGGAGGGTGGAAGCTAGTAAAACTCAATCGTCCTTTTGAGCTCGTCCTGCAGTATACTCAGATAGAGCTGCCCGTCCATCCTACCGTCTATTTTGCACATGAAGCCCGCGCCATCATACGACATGCACCCCCAAATCATCAAGCAGCCGCCCCCGTGTTTGACTGTCTGCTTGATTTGGTGGCTTTGGTGGCTTTGGAGGGCAGCACCTTTGTGAACCCAGGCATAGGAGCGTCCATCGGATGCAAACCGATTGATCTTGGTCTCATCCGACCAGATCACCCGCTTCCAATCGTCAACCATCCAGTCGGCGTGGGCACGAGCCCATTCGAGCCTAGCGCGTATGTTTTTCCGAGAGAGTCGTGGCTTCTTGGGCTGCTGGATTGCAACTAGTCTGCTGCCGTTCAACGCATTACGCACCGTCCTAGGATGCAGCGTGATGCCGTGCTGCATCTCGACTATCTTCGCCGCGTGAGCAGAGGTTTTGGCCTCCCCACTAGTAATCGCCCGAACTATGCCGCGGCGAAATCTCTCTGTCACTAAGCGAGGGCGACCGGCTGAGGGCATCGTGGGACGCACGGCATCGCGGCTAGACTCCTCAATCGCCTTAAGTCCATAATTGTGGACCGTGTTCTTGCCCACGCATAGCTTTTTAGCGATTCGATGCGTGCTATACCCCCTCCGCAACAGGGTAATGATACGTGTGCGGCGCGCCTCATCTATCGGTTTCATGACGGCCCAATCGTCGTAGCGGTCCTAGCCTATCTCCTGACTACTCGATAGTCGCGAGGGCAAGAAAGTAGAAATAGCGAGGTTAGGAAATAGATCTACTACGCTGCTTGGCTTGAATTGTCCAGATGCACCCACGCTAACGAAATCTCGTCCTCGGTAAATAATCGACCCCTAACAAACTGAAACCAGCATCCGTCACATACAGTACAGTACTACTTTACATCCAACCTCGAAATTTGATTCGTTACTAAACAAAAAAGGCACCAAACCGGTACGAGAAATGTTTCAAGGCAATTATCTGGGCAATACTTTCCGCCAGTGTAGCAACGGATAAGCTTGGGTAATTAGGACTGCAGCGGTATGGACTGAAGGGCGGGTTAGAGCGTCGGCGATGTTGCTAACCCCCCGTTTGTAGGTGACTCTGTAGTGGAAGTTTGACTCGAGGTAATCTAGCCAGCAAATCTGTCGAGGATTCAGTTTCGGTTGGGCGCGGATGAACTGTAGCAATTTGTGGTCTGTTCGGACTGTCACGTCAGCGCCCGTCAGGTAGCAGCGCCAGACCTTGAAAGCGTGAACGATGGCGAGTAACTCCTTGTCGTGGACAGGATAATTTCGCTCGGCTGGATTCAGCTTTCGTGACTCGTAGGCGATGAGTTGAAGGCCTTCGCCGAAGTCTTATAACAGTACTGCGCCAACAGCCAGGTCGCTAGCGTCGGTGATGAGCTCGAACGGACGGTGAGGATCGGCAATTCAAAGAACCGGAGGTGTAGTCAGGAAAAGTTTGAACAGTTCGAACACAGCCTGCTGCTCTCCCCCCCACTCATAAAACTTGCCTTTCTTCAGGAAAACTGTGAGAGGGGAAGTTACCCCCGCCATGTTCGGAATGAACCGGCGAACGTAATTCACAAACCCCAGGAAACTTTGAAGTTCTTGGAGATTAGCCGGCGGCTGCCAGTCTTGGATGGTCGAGATCTTCTTAGGGTTGATTTTAACACCATCAATGGAAATAACGTGTCCCAAAAACTCCAGTCTGTTTCAGATCCCTTGGTGATGAGTCGGTGCTGCTGCATGGGAAAGAAGACTGCTTCCAAATCCTTCAGATGCAGTTCCCGGGTAGTGTTGAAGATCAGGATATCGTCGAGGTACACGACGATGCAATTATCCAGCAGCGGCCGAAAAACTTCGTTCATTGTTAACTGGAACATCGAAGGTGCGTTTGTTAAGCCAAATGGCATAACCGTGTACTCGTAACTCCCGTATCGGATCCGAAACGCCGTCTTATAGCAGTCATCTTTGTGCACCCGGATCTGATGGTAACCGCCTCGTAAGTCAATTTTCGAAAAGAACTTGGCTCTACGAAGTTGGTCGATGAGTTCGTCGGCACGCGGGATAGGATATCGGGACTTCATGGTAACCCGATTCAAGGCGCGGTAGTCAATACACATTTGGAGACCGCCATCTTCCTTCGGGGTGAACAGGATCGGAGCTGCGAATGGTGAAGTGCTGGGGCGAACGAAACCTTTCTCGAGCAGGAAGTCCAGCTGGCGTCGAAGTTCATCCAGCTCGGGCTGAGTCAGCCGCCATTGAGTTCGAACAGTCGGTTGTGCGCCGAGCTCCAACTCGATGTTGTGGTCGTGGTCTCGCTCAGGTGGCAAACCCGCCGGTAGGTCATCTGGAAAATTGTCAGCATGCTTGCGAATCAACGTTGCCAAATCGTTCGGGACAGCTGCGCAGAGTTTGTCGATGTCTGCTGGTGCGTCGACAGCCGTGGATGCGATCCATCGGACGGCGTACAGTTGCGCCCCGCGAATCATCGCTTGATTGTAACCGCGCTGACCGTCGATGTCGTCGAATCTTGACAGCTCCACTTGGGAAGTCGTCGCCACTCACCACTCCATTTGATGCGACAGTCACCCGTCCGCCAGTCAATGCTCGGGTTGTATTCGCGCAGCCGATCGCGTCCCAGCAGCATGTCGCAGCCGTCCAAAGTTGTCGCCAGCATCTTCGTCGTGAAGGTGAAATTTTCGCCGCATGTTACTCGCACATGAGGAACTCGCTCCCGAATTGCTAGTGGTGTGCCGTCGACCAATCTTGCGTTGATTTCAGGCATGCAGCGCTACGGTTGCAGTCGCAATTTTTTTGCCTTCGTCACGTCCACAAAACTGTGGCTCGCCCCGCCATCAACGAATATTTTGATGCGGGTGTCGCCAACTCTTCCTTCAACCAGCACAGGGTGATCAACTGCTTCACCCCCCTTATTCAGCCAGGAATGGTCAATAGCCCAAATCGGCACTATAACCTGGTGGGGGTGGTGGCGTTTGGGCGACGCAGTCAAGTCCATGTGCTACTGACAATCTCCATTTCCCGACTCCTTCTTGTCGTTAGGTAAGTTCTTCTTCAGTTGCGGGCAGTCCCTCACCATGTGACCCGGCTGGTTGTAGTGGAAGCAGGTTCCCGAAAATACTCGGGCTGCAAACACGTCCATGCCATTGATTGATGTTGGGGCTGGCCTTGAAAGCGATTCGAATCTGCCCTTCAACGCTTCGCCCCACGCTTTCCACGTGCGGATCGTAGTCGATCCAAAGATTGGTTCTGCCTTCACTGTTGATGAACTCGTCTCCCCATCTGTCTCCCATTGATTCCCTGCCGGGGCTCCTCCCTCGTCGAGATGCATGCGCCACCAGTCGAGTGCCGGTCCTCTCAGCAGCGACACAACCAAGTTGACACGTAAGGCATTGTCATTAATACTTGCTGCTGTGATGAAGATTTCCATGGCGAACAGCCATCGGCTCACTGTAGTCGTCCTGTCGGTCGGGTTGAACGGTGGGGGCATCGGAGGCTTGACTTTAATGGCCGCCCGCGGCTTGCTGTGGACTTCTTCAAATGCTTCAGGTGTCACCGACTCCCTCGCTTCGCTCGCTTCATCTTTGCCTCAGGTAACAGCCGCCCCTGACGCGTTTCACCCCGCGCCTGGCGAAGCGACGAGTTTTCGTTGCGCATTGTCTGAACTTCGCTTCGCAGCGACTCGAACTTGTCCGCGAGCTGTTAAAGCTGGGCCTGCAGTGTCGTCACTGTAACCGCCATGGCTTGCAACTTGTCAAACTCCTCCTGAGTCACGTTCCTAACACTATGACGAACAGAGGTTTCTGGCGTGCTAGTCATGCTGGAAATTTTACCTGACAAATGTGAGGGTGCACAAGCTTTTAGTTGGAGGAGCTTTAACGAGCTCACCTACCAACCGCTGGCCAACCCTCTATTATGTCGCGTCCTCTCCCGATATAATCGGACTACTCTACGGAAGACTAAGCGGGCAGGAACGGGGCTCTGATACCAATTGCTATGAATTAATCAGAGTAATAATATCTAGTGTAATAAAGGAGTCGTGATTCAAGAGTGTCGATACAAATGAGGGCCTAGGCATTTATAGGCACGAACAGAGCTAGCCGAGAACCACGCGAATAGGTTGGGGCGATTCGGTTGGCGAAAGCCACGGAAGCGCTGCGCATCAAGGTTTGGGTTCGCGAAGTGGTTCGGGACCGAAGAATTTGGTCGAGCCTGGACTTCCGAGAGTCGAGGGCGTACGCGCTGTAGTCGAGCCCACTGAGGAAAAAGGAATTTCTTTACACATTTCGCGCTTCTTAACTGCCATGTGCGCTGCGAGTAACTCGCGCGCCTCGTGTCAAGCCGAGCCGCACACACAACCGCGACTTTCTTGCTGAACACGCCGCTAGTCCCAAGTCTGAATGCTTGTTGAACACGCCCCGTCTGAAGCCCAATTTTTGCCCCACGTCACCTTGTTTCTCGCCACTTCCTTTCCTTTCTTCCACCCAATCACTCTTTCCTCCAACCTTCTCTCTCGCTTCCCCATTTTTTACGTAAGTGACACGCTCACACAATCTCCTCTTTTCCTAACTCCTTCTCCTCCCTAGGCCGCGCTTCTCCTTCCGTCGCACCAAGTCACGAGTAGTTCGTCGTGAGTGGCGGAACCACTCCAACACCTAGCATGGACAATCCTGGACTTGGAGAACTCCACCATCGTGCCCTCTGGGGACGTCCACTGCTACGAAGGACTCACCTGAAGGAGTTCCAGGACGACTGCCGCGCAATTGTCAAGCAGCCTACGTGCATGGCGAACGCAGTTTCGCCTCTTTGGAAGATGAAGGCGCCGCTACTCGCCTGAATTTATACTCGCCTGATGAACACCCTGGGGAAACCCCCTACTCGATGGCGATGACGTGGACGATGCCCCACTCGAACCCTCATGCGACACTCTACTGCGTGAAGGAACCACTAAAACCTCATCGAACCACGACTCTGATGACGACGTGCAATAAGTCACCGACGTACAGCACCGCAACATCATATTCTCCGGCCTTCACATTCTCGGGCTTCATGCAGCAGTCCACAACAGTCCCTGTATGATCGAACCTAAGACACCATGATTGGCTCTCACCGGACCCCATCGCGCTGAATGGCATAAGGCCATGGACGCGGAAATTGTTGCATTGCACTCTCGCAATATCTGGGTCCTCGTCGACTGCGCAACAGTAAAAGAGAGGAAGTTACCCTCTGGGAACTTGGTTTACCGCGTTAAAAGTGACACCCAAGGGAATGTCGAGCGATGCAAAGCTCGATGGGTCGTACGAGGCTACGACCAATGCCACGGCATCGAATTCGACCTCACCTTCGTACTGTCAGCCGTCACATCTCCGTGCGCATCCTACCATCGCAGCATGCCTACACATCGAGCTTCGACAGATCGACGTAAAAAATGCATTCCTATACGCAAAGGTTGACGCTCTAATCTTCATAGAGCAACCTCACACCTACGGCGACGGGGATCCACGCGTCTGCTAGCTGCAAAAGTCCCTCTACAGGATTAAGTAGGCACCCTGTCTGTGGCAGCATCATCTTCACAAAATCCTACAGGGGATAGGGTTCCTCCAGCTACCTCACGACCCCGGGATGTACTGTCTCCACTTCTGTGGAGATTACACCCTGCTCATGGTTTACGTCGACGACCTACTCTATACTGGCACCAACCCCGACCTGCTCGATCCGTTCGAGCGCACTCTTGACCACCGCGTCGACATCGCCGTTACATGCAGGCCTGACCTATCCTACATCGCCAGCCAGCCCTAGTATTCTCGATGATCTAAGGGGGAGAACCTCCTAGATTTACAATGAGCTCTCCTCTATTTCATTTCATCTCCCCACATCCGCCTCACCTACTCCACAATCACTATACCCACATTCCAATACGCCGGCTACGTCGACGCAGACCACGCCAAAGACCCCGCTAACCGCCGCTTTTGCACACGATTCCTCCTTTGCTTGGGACCTGCTGGACCTATCTCTTTGAACTTACAGAAACATGAGCTAATTGTTAAAGCGAGAACTGAATGATTGAGTAGAGAGAGAGTACAGGTGAATATACCTAAGTGTTGTACCCTCTAAGAGGTGGCCCTATATAGTCTATGCAAACATAGGAGATACACATGTTTGACATACCCCCTAGACTGCATAGGGGCAGGTCCTGAACAAGCAGCTCAGGGCGGCACTACTAGTCCAGCCTCTAAGACAAGGGTCTGAAAGACCAGTCAGAAGGAGTACAGACAAGGCAAGAACAAGACCAGGGCGGCACTACTAGTCCAGCCACTGGGAGAGGACACAAGTCCAATCTGAGTACACATATAAAGGACAGTACTAAGTCAAGGCCCTAGCAAGTGAGAGGCTACAGGAACTAGACCAAGCTGTACACAGTGCCGCTGATGATCTTTAGGCGCAAGCGCCTTCGTAAAGATATCAGGTGTGTTGGCACCTGAGGCCAAGTGTACTAAGCGAGCCTGGCGTCGCTTCTGTAGCTCGCGCAGGAGGAAGTACCGCAGCTGAATATGCTTCGCTCTGCCGTCGATTCGAGGCTCCTGACACATGAGGATCATGGCCCTGTTGTCAGCGAACAGGACCGGGGCAGAGCTAGGCCGCTCACCTAAGTCAGTGAGCAAGAAGGTCAGCCAGCGGAGCTCCTGTGCCGCCATGGCACCAGCGTAGATCTCAGCCTCACAGCTGGACTGGGCAACAGACGAGGAGCAGGTAGCTCTCCACGAGACGGCACCTGAACCAAGGCTGAAGCAGTAGCCCTGGGTAGACCTGAGTGTCTCGGCGTCGTCTGCCCAAGAAGCGTCTGTGTGCCCAGTAAGGACCATTGGCCCACGTCCTCCTAGCACTAACCCCATGCCTGATGTACTAGCAAGATAATGCAAAACCCTCATAGCAGCAGACCAATGCTGCGGTCGGTGTCTGCCTGTGGCCACAAAGCGAGCCAGGATGCTGAGAGGGTATGCGAGATCTGGGCGAGTGCAAGTCATCAGGTACATGAGGCAACCCACCAGCTCTGCGTAGGGGCCGCTGGGCTCTACGGACTCCTTAGAAACTGGAGCAGAGAGTCTGTGGTCTACAGGCAGAGGGGTGGGCTGTGCAGAGAAGAACTGAAGGCCGAACCTCTGAAGAACCTGGCGCACCAAGTGTGACTGAGTCACGGTGATGGTGCGTGCTGCTCTGTCCCTGGAGATCTGCAAGCCAAGGTAACGGCGCAGTTCTCCAAGGTCAGTGCACGTGTGTCTCTTCAGCAGCTCTGCCTTCACTGAGGCCAGTGCGTCCCTGTCTGCTGTGGCAAAGACCAGGTCGTCGACGTAAACAAGGATGTAGAACGGAGTCTAGC